GCGCACTCAACCGCTAAGCCACGGAGCTGGCCCCTCTAGTGAGTTCTTATTGATTCTTTTGGGAGTGTCAGGTTTGACAAATGGTCCATGGCTTTCTTCTGTTTCCTCATCCACAGATGCTGATATCATGTACTCTGTCTGTGTCAACCCTGCCTCTTTCTATTTTCAATTTCAGGGTTGACCTTGTTACTTAGTTTTGTTGTAGGTATCATCCTTGGGTTTTCAGTTTTGCTCGCCTAGTTGTTCTAGTTAAATTTTTTGTGCAGGGTTGGGATAGAGATTTAAGAAAATTCAAAAACTATACTGCCACTGCCAACATCTTCTGAAAATCTTCTAAAAAACAATTTTTAAAAAGTAAAATCTAAAGTAGAAGATTGGCATATGTTGAATCGAGATGATAGACGTGATTGTATTCTGTATACTTTTCTGGATGCTTGAGATAGTTCATAATTCAAAAGAAAGCAATTAAATCTAGCAATATATAACGCTTATAATTATGTCGTGACCAAGTAGGTTATGCAATCAAATACTTTTTTTCTTCCTTTCCAGTGTGTATGTTTTTGTTTGTTTCTTTTCCTTTTTCTTGCCTTATTGAACTGGTTAGAATCCCCAGTACAGTATTCAGTAGGAGCACAAGAGTATACATCCTTGTGTTGTTCCTGATCTTAGGAAAAAAACATTTCAGTCTTTCATCATTATGTTTGATGTTAGTGGTAGGTTTTTTGGTAGATACCCCTTATCAAATGGAGGACTTCCCTTCTATTCCTGATTTGCTGAGAGCTTTTATCCGGAATGGATGTTGCATTTTGTGAAATGCTTTTTCTGCATCTATTAAACTGATCCCATGGTTTTTCTGTTTTAGTTTGATATGGTGAAGTATATTGATTGGTTTTTGAATAGTGAACCAACCTTGCATTCCGGAGATAACACCCACGTGTGCCTCCCCCCCCCCCAGCCAATCATGATGTGTCATTCTTTTTATATATTGCTGGATTATTTGCTAAAATTTTAAAGATTTTTTATTTATTTATTTTTCCCCCAAAGCCCCAGTAGATAGTTGTGTGTCGTAGTTGCACATCCTTCTAGTTGCTGTATGTGGGACGCGGCCTCAGCATGGCCGGAGAAGCGGTGTGTCGGTGCTCGCCCGGGATCCGAACCCGGGCCGCCAACAGCGGAGCGCGCGCACTTAACCGCTAAGCCACGGGGCCGGCCCCTGAATTTTAAATATTTTTTAGTCTGTGTTCATGAGAGATATTGGTCTGTTTTTTCTTGTCATGTCATGTCATGTAATGTTTTAGTGTGGTTTGGTATCAAGGTAATACTGGGCCTTAATAGAATGAGTCGGAAAGTGTTCTAGAGAGTTTGTGTAGAATTTTCTGGAAGAGGTTGTATAGAATTGGTATTATTTCTTCCTTAAATGTGTGATAGAATTCACAGTGAAGTCATCTGGGCTTAGAATTTTCTTTATGGGAATGTTTTTAACTGCAAATTCATCTTAATGGAAATAGGGCTATTCAGGATATCTATTTCTTCTGGAGTGAGCTTTGGTAGCTTGTGTCTTTCAAGGAATTGGTCTGTTTCATCTAAGTTAAAAAATTTGCTGACGTAGTTGTTCATATTATCACTTTATTATCCTTTTAATATCTGTAGGATACTATTGATGTTCCCTCTCTACTTCTTCATACTGATAATTTGTATCTTCGCTGTGTTTTGTTAATGAGTCTGACTAGAGATGTATTTTATTTTGTTTTGTTTCATTTTTCATTTTGTTTCATTTTTAATCTTGTCAAGATTAAATCAGTTTTTCTCTATGATTTTTCTGTTTGATATCGGCTTTTATCTTTTTTTTTTTTTAAGATTTTGTTTATTTTTTTATTTTTTCCCCCCAAAACCCCAGTGGATAGTTGTGTGTCATAGCTGCACATCCTTCTAGTTGCTGTATGTGGGACTCGGCCCCAGGATGAACGGAGAAGTGGTGCCTCAATGCGCACCCAGGATCCGAACCCGGGCCACCAGCGTCGCAGCGCGCGCACTTAACCACCAAGCCACAGGGCCGGCCCATCGGCTTTTATCTTTATTGTTCCTTTTTTCTTCTTATTTTTGGATTTAATTTGCTCTTTTTCTTGTTTCATAAGGTAGAAACCTAGATCATTTTTTTAAAAACCTTTCTTATTTTCTAATATATATATTTAATACTATAAATTTTCTTCTAAGTATTGCTTTACTGCATCCCACAGATTTTTCTACCTTTTTGTTACTGTTTTCTAACTTAATTGTATTAATGTTGGTGAACATGCTCTTTATGAAATAGTCTTTGAAGTTTTCAAGACTTACTTTATGGCCTAGTGTGGAAGATTGATATCTCAGAACCATTATTGTTTGATTTACATTTGATAAGAAATATTAAATCTTTTTTTTTTTAAATTAATTAATTTATTTTTCCCCCAAAGCCCCAGTACATAGTTGTATGTCATAGCTGCACATCCTTCTAGTTTCTGTATGTGGGACATGGCCTCAGCATGCCCAGAGAAGTGGTGCGTTGGTGTGCGCCTGGGATCCGAACCCAGGCCGCCAGCAGCGGAGCGCACGCACTTAACCGCTAAGCCACGGGGCCGGCCCAGAAATATTAAATCTTTTTGAGTTTTGTTTTTCTTTATTTCAGGTCTTGGTATGGTGACTCCTGTGAATGATCTTAGAGGATCTGATTCAATTGCCTATGACAAAGGGGAGAAATTATTGCGGTGTAAGTTGGCAGCATTTTACAGACTAGCAGATCTCTTTGGATGGTCTCAGCTGATCTACAATCATATCACAGTAAGTATTAAATGAGGTAGTAACTGAATGACAAATGGAATATTGTGTGTTTGGCACCACCTCTTTCCGTTTAGGAGAAGAGGGAAGCTGGCTGAACTGAAGTCAATCATGGAACACCTTCCTTCTGCTTCCTGACTGCAGAGTATAATAATCTGAGAATTAGCCAGTTTGAATTAAAAATTATGAGAACAGTAGTTCTTTAAAACTCCTTTCTTGCATTCTAATGTAATAAATGAGTATTTACAAATTATAGGCAGTTCCTAAAATTTTTTTATGCCTAAAAATGTAAGAATGAAGATATATCCTTTCCTACTCTGACCAAAGCCTTCTATCTTTTACACTTATTTCTTTTTTTTTTTTGTGAGGAAGATCGGCTCTGAGCTAACATCTGCCAATCATCCTCTTTTTGCCGAGGAAGACTGGCCCTGGGCTAACATCCATGCCCATCTTCCTCCACTTTATATGGGATGCCGCCACAGCATGGCTTGCCGAGCGGTGCGTCGATGTGCGCTTGGGATCCGAACCGGCGAACTCCGGGCTGCTGCAGCGGAGCGTGCACACTTAGCCGCTTGCGCCACTGGGCTGGCCCCTACACTTGTTTCTTAACAGTATCAGGACCTCTGTTTTCTTCAGTTCACTCTTGCAATAAATATTTACTGGGTGCTATAAACATTTATTGCTCTGTACCAAGCGTTGTTCTAACTCTGGGGCTATATCAGTGAATGAAACAAGTCCTGCCTTTGTGGATCTTCTGTTCTGTATTCTAATCCATCAGTCCATATTCACTCCCTATTTTGTCCAGCTTGGATTTCTTGGTCTGTCATTTTAGTAACACTCTTTGCCAATACCATACTATCTCTCCGTGCTCCTGAGCAGCCAGATCCTGCTACAGAGAGCCTTACAACAGAGCCTATTGACTTTCTCCTTAGATTTACAGCCTCAATCTCAAATGGACCTATAGCACTGCCTGGCAACTGTAGGACATCTCTCTTACAAGCTCACTAAGATTTCTTTATTATCTGTACTATCTTCAAAACTCCTGACCTCCTTCTCCCAGCAAATGACCACCTCATTTCACAGAGAAAATGGGAACTCTTTACTGAAGTTTGTACCCATTCTATCCTCCTGACCACCTGTTAGAACGTCCCACCTCCTACCTACAGCCAAGCCAAGAATTCCATCCCCTCCTGCCTTCTTAGATTCCTAATGCATTGTCAGGTTTCTGTTTTCTTTCTTTGCTCTTTTGTAGAGATAGCCTCTTTCTTTGAACTGCTTCCTTCCTTTGACTTTTAAACTTGTTCCAGTCTCTGTTTTTTCGTTTAATTTCTTTTATTGGATAATTTTAATTATTAATATATTACCTGCTTATAGTATAGTACCTTACACATGTCTAAAGAAGAAGTCATAATCCTGCCAATACTCTTATTTCCCTTGAAGCAACCGGTGTTAACAGCCGTTTAGATCGTTTTACCCTTTTCTCCGTACTCAACACACACGTAGGTGTTTTTCACATATGGATTTGTAACCAGTGGTGCTTAGTTCAGCTCCATTCTGGATTCCAAGGAATGCTAAACCTCTGAGGTGGTGGTCTAGAGCCAACCTTTGTGATCAGTGCCCTGTGCTTCTGGGGCATGATATGGATCTTTGCCAGAGATACTGAGTCAGGTGCATTTGGTTTTCACTGAGTGACCTTAAGATCTGTGACGTTAGCGTTCATTCCTCGTACACAGAGAAGGGGCGTTAGATGCGTGGGAAGACACACAGTGAGACCAGCACTAGTCCATTGGGGACTAGAACACTTAGTTTGAAATGTCCTTCTCTCTTTTTTCACTTTACATCTGTATTTAGCACTTTTTCCTTTTTGCTTCAGACTCAGAAAATCATATATTTTAAGCTTTTTCCATTAAAATATGTAGCTCTGTTAAGCTCACTCTTGGAAATATATGTTAAGGAAATAAGTCAAAGAAGAAAACATGATGTACAAATATCTTTATTATAGCATTATCTGTAATAATGGAAAATTTTAAGTCTAAATATCCAGCAGTAGGTGGGAAATGGCCCAGTTATTCAACATTAATTTGCGGGGATATATACACTATGGAAAATAATTATAAAGATCATGTGAAAACATGAAAAATGAAAATTATTATAGAAGAGAAATACAAAATGTATACTGTTTATAGCTGAATGAATTATATATATATATAGATGAAGAAAAAAGAAGTGATTAGAATGGCTATGTAGTATTTTTTTAATGTGGAACCTGATAGCATGCTTCTAAAATTTATACGGAAGAGGGGCTGGCCGCGTGGCGTAGCGGTTAAGTGTTTGCACTCTGCTGCTGGTGGCCTGGGTTCGGATCCCAGGCGTGCACCGAGGCACCGCGTGTCAGGCGATGCTGTGGTGGCGTCCCATATAAAGTGGAGGAAGATGGGCACAGATGTTAGCCCAGGGCCAGTATTCCTCTACAAAAAGAGGAGGATTGGCATGGATGTTAGCTTAGGGCTGATCTTCCTCACACACATACACAAAATAATAATAAAATAAAATAAAATAAAAATTTATATGGAAGAAAAAAGACTAAGAATAGCTAAGATATTCCCAATGAACTAGGTGAGGAGATTTTTTTTTTTTTTGCCAAATGTCAAACTTATAAAGTGACGGTAATTAAAATGTGTGCTATGGGCAAAGGAAGAGACAAATAGACCAGTGGGACAGAACAGAGAGCCCAGAACCAGATCTCCTATATTGAAATCAGATATCCAAAAGAGTCGGCATTGCAGATCAGCAGGGGAAGGATGGACTAGGCAGTAATTGGTGCTGGCACAATTGGATTGAAAAATCAGAATTGGAAAATTGCATTGGATTCCTGCCTTACACTATATATACTCATAAAATCAATTCCAGTGAATTAAGGATTAAGTGTGAAAGGTAATACTTTAAAAACTTTAGGATCAATGTAGGCAAAAATCGTTGACCTGTAACCTCTGACCTAAGGAAAGATATCTTAAGACACAAAAGCACCTTTCATAAAAGAAAAGATGGGTACATCTGATGACATTAAAATGAACAAATTTCTCATCTTTAAAAGACACCATAAAGAGAGTGGAAATAAAAGTTACAATCTGGAAGGTAGCCAACAAAAAATTAATATCCAGAATAGATAAAGAACTATCAATAGGAAAAGGACGAACTAGTATAAAATTGACAAAAGACGAGAAAGGAATTTCACAGAAGGAGAAATAAGAATGGCTTATAAAAATAGGAAAAGTTGCTCAACTCTTTAGTAACCAGGAAATTATAAATTAAAACCACAGTGAAATATACCACTTTGCAGACATCAGATTTTAATTTTTAAAAAAGATGGTTGTAGAAGCACATAACTATCATACACTACAAACTGGAGTTTACATTTAATTAGGCCCTTTGGAAATAATTTGGCGTCATCTCCTAGTTTATTACTCTGGAGAAACTTGAAAATGTACACTAGGAGACAGGTACAAGAATGTCCATAGCATTGTTTTTAATAGCAAAATGGAAACCATATCCATTGATAGAAGAATGGATACATAAATGGTATATTCATCCAGTGGACACTATATAGCAATGAAAATGAATAAATTTATAGCCATATGTATCATAATCTGGAGGAATCTGAAAAATAATGTTGAGGAAAAAAGTTACTGAAAAATACAGTATGATTCCAATTATATGAAGTTCATAAACAGATAAAAATTAAACTATATTGCTTAGGGATGGATATATATATATATATGGTAAAACTATAAAGAAAAGAAAATGCTTTACACATAGTTCAGGATAGTGGTTACTTCGGAGGTATTAGACCTATTCTGTTTCTGAAGCTAGTTGAAGGGTACATGGGTGTTTGATTTATTATTATTATACTTAAATTATACATATACCCTCTAAATACTCTTTGTTTCAAAATAAAAACTTTTAAAATGAGCAAAAATATCTGACATTTAATTTTTCCTTATTTCCAACCTTATTTTTCTTCATCCTAACCAATAAATACAGAAAGTAATTCCTTGTTTTATGTTTTGTGTTGACCCAACTTAACTTAGGGATTGGGGCAATTGCATAGTTTTGTTTTAGTTGGTTGAAAAGATCAGCATGCTTTTTTTTTTTTTTTTTTGTGAGGAAGATCAGCCCTGAGCTAACATCCATGCTAATCCTCCTCTTTTTGCTGAGGAAGACCGGCTCTGAGCTAACGTCTATTGCCAATCCTCCTCGTTTTTTCCCCCTTTTTTTTTTCCCCAAAGCCCCAGGAGATAGTTGTATGTCATAGTTGCACATCCTTCTAGTTGCTGTATGTGGGACGCGGCCTCAGCATGACTGGAGAAGCGGTGCGTCGGTGCGCGCTCGGGATCCGAAACCAGGCCGCCAGTAGCGGAGCGCGCGCACTTAACCGCTAAGCCACAGGGCTGGCCCTCAGCAAGCTTTTTAAAATAAAAGAACTGACTTTAGAAATAAAAAGGTAACTCACCATTAATGGGAGAACATTTTGGGGAAAGGTGGAAACCACGTGTACACTTTTGAAACAACTAAAAGAGAAGAGAGACCTAAGCATTAGGGATTTATAGAGAATGGATATTATAGATATGGATTTATAGAGAGAACAGCTTCATTAATGGTAATGATTTACTACTGCTGCTCCTTTTACCACTAGTAATAGTAATAGTAGGGAGATGCCATTTATTGAGAGCTTTATTGTGAGTACAAGCCCTTATCATCCTCACTTGATGGATAAGGAGACCAGGAGCCCAGGGTCCCCAAAGCAGCATAGCCAGTTCTTGGCAGAGCTAGGATTTTAACTCAAGTCTGTACATGACTGTGGATCTCCATTATACTGTACTGAGGAAATCAAGTGTATTTAGCATGAAGATGACACAGGAGATAGGATAGTTTCAAATATCTGAGAACTAAACTAATTGTGGAAGAGGGGGTAGAGCTTATTCTGTGTTGCATACTAGAAGCAGTGTTGAAAAACTCAGGAAGATAGATTTCTCAGTGTCAGAGAAAAGATTTTAATGATAAGGTCTCTCCAGCTTCTGTTTATTTACTGCTGTACTCCAGCACCCATGACATAGTAGGTGCTCAGTGACTATTTGCTGAATGAGGAAATGGGACAGGCCGATTAAGGACGTGGTGAGGCCCTGTTCTGTTTGGGCCACTATAGAAGAAGTCACTACGCTGGTTAGGAAATTAGACTAAACATCTTAAAGTCTTTTCAGCAAACACTAAGTTCCAACTACCTGACCCTAGTTAGAATTCTTAGCCCAGTAGTAAATGTAGTATTCCAACTTGGTAGCTTTGGGAAGTCTTTTGAGTCTATCCCAAGATCGTTATAAAAACTAGACTGGGCCGGCCCCGTGGCTTGGCGGTTAAGTGCGCGCACTGTGCTGCCGGCGGCCCAGGTTCGGATCCCGGGTGCGCACCGACGCACCGCTCCTCTGGCCATGCTGAGCCCGCGTCCCACATACAGCAACTAGAAAGATGTGCAGCTATGACAGACAACTATCTGCTGGGGCTTTGGGGGAAAAATAAATAAATAAAATCTTTAAAAAAAAAAAAAAAACTAGACTGAATTTTTTTTAGGGCAGGACTCTTTTCCTGCTATATTACTAGTGTCTAGCAGAGATACATAGTATGTGCCAAATCTGTATTGAATGAATAATAGTGGAAAGAAAACTATGTTGTGGACGGAGCAAACAAACGAGGGGCTGGTGTGGTGGTGCAGAGACTTTGTGAAATTGATCAGGCAGTAAGGAAGAGCTCTCTTGTTTGTGATTTTTATGATTGTTCATTATCCTGTAGGTTTTGAGTAATAAAAAAAACATCCATTTTGACTTTCAAAAAGTAGGTTTTGGTTTTCATTATTTTTTTTTTTTTTTTAAGATTTTATTTATTGCCCCCAAAGCCCCAGTAGATAGTTGTATGTCACAGCTGCACACCCTTCTAGTCGCTGTATGTGGGACTCGGCCCCAGGATGGACAGAGAAATGGTGCCTCGATGCGCACCCGGGATCCGAACCCGGGCCGCCAGCATCGCAGCGCATGCACTTAACCACCAAGCCACAGGGCCGGCCCTGGTTTTCATTATTATACCCCCAAGGAGTGACACCTTTTTGCACATGTTAGTGGTTTGGTAGCCACCAGATTTTTTCTTTATAAAGTTAATTTTCATGAATGTGACCAAGATGCAGTTAATAAACGTGATAAATTACTGCAACATAATAATAGCAAGCTTTCAATACTGCTTAGCTTAGTGACAGACATTGTACTTAAGTGCTTTCTTACGTAGTTTGCTTAATGCTTACAACAAACTCATGAGTTTTTGGACTAAAAGAGATGCAAATAATTTCAGTTGGATTTTTGAGCTAACTCAGTGATTTTCCCCACAGACCAGAGTGAGCTCCGAGCAGGAACACTTCCTTATTGTACCGTTTGGACTTCTCTATAGTGAAGTGACTGCATCCAGTTTGGTAAGAATGTCCTTTTCCTCTTGGGCGTCCTGTGTGTATAGGTCATATTAGATAATTAAACATTTTCTAATCCTGTTAGACATATAAAACCCAAAAACGAAGAAAAAGTCTTTGTTTTGTGTGATTAATTTTACTCAGAGAAAAACCTTTAAAGATTTTATTTATTCATGTTTTTCCCCCCAAAGCCCCAGTAGATAGTTGTATGTCGTAGGTTCACATCCTTCTAGTTGCTGTACGTGGGACTCGGCCTCGCGTTGGACAGAGAAGTGGTGCCTTGGGGCGCGCCCGGGATCCGAACCCGGGCCGCCAGCATCAGAGCGCACGCACTTAACCGCTAAGCCACGGAGCCGGCCCTCAGAGAAAAACCTTTAAAATTAGTGATTAACACTTTAAACTGGTTTAAATAATTTCTGGTTAGGGTAATTTGAAATCCTCTTGACATATTAATATTTCATTTTATTATTTTCAGGTTAAAATCAATCTACAAGGAGAAGTAGTAGATCGTGGGAGTACTAATCTAGGGGTAAACCAAGCTGGCTTCACATTACACTCTGCAATATATGCTGCACGCCCAGATGTGAAGTGTGTTGTGCATATTCACACACCAGCAGGGGCTGCGGTGAGTGTGCTGCCCTGGCAGTGACTGATGTTTTAAAGCTGGTTAGTGAGAGGTGCTTCACATTTCCTCTGAATTGCCCTCTCGTGTTGCAGCAAATCAATAAACCTAATTTTGTTGGATTAAAAAATTTTTTTTACTGTTTGATTTTCTTAAAAGAATATTTTTTTCTTTTAAGAGGGTCCATGTACTATCTGTTTTGAAAAACCTGTAATAAGTCTGAAAATAAAAATGTCCATTAGACTTAATTAGATAATCGTAGAGTGTTGAGGATGGAGGTCAGATTTCAGTGTATTGAAGACTGTTGGGAAGTGCAAAATGACAGCAGTAAGTAGAGACTTCTTGTTTTTGAAAAGGAATGGGCAAAGGAGGGAGGGCAAGATGGGATGGTAGGTGGACGATGCTCTGGGCTCAGGGAAGGATTAGTAGGCTGCAGCAGACTTGAGCACGCTGGTGGGCTGTGGGGAAGGAGCCAGGCATGAGAACTCCGGAGAGGCTGAGGCCTAGAGACAAGCCTGGCCAGCTTCCCCACAGATGTCCTGCTTGGAGCCACGGAACCCAGGCTGGATCATCATGACTGGGGAGAATAAGAAGAAGGGCAGTTGGAGGAAGAGGGCACAGACAGTGCAGGCTCTTAGGAGACCTGGTCTCAAGCCCAGAGCTTCCCAGGAGCCTGCCCACCCTGATCACCAAACCTGGGCCCTCCTGGTGCGAACAGGCCACCCTGACAAAGCCCCAGACCTCTCAGTATGAAAATAAACATTCCAATTGTTGGTACAGTCATGTGAAAGCGAAACACTCTAATTATCTAGAATTGGGTTTTTATCACCGATTTTATACTTTAATGACTTTGTGGGCTTATTTGTATGACAGAGGACCTCATTGGTTTAGTAATGCTGAATTTTAATCTGTCTTGATGTTTTAATGTCTTACGTTATTAGATTGTTTGGATGAATGTTAGATCTGGTTTCTTTTACTTTGAAGATGTGGTTCTTTTTTTTTTTTGCTGAGCAAGATTGGCCCTGCGCTAACATCCATGCCCATCTTCCTCTACTTTATGTGTGGGATGCTGCCACAGCATGGCTTGATGAACAGTGTGTAGATCCGTGCCCAGGATCCGAACCCGTGAACCCGTGGCCTCTGAAGCGGAGCATGCAGACTCAACTGCTACGCCACCGGGCTGGCCCCAACACTTAGATTTTTTACTTAAATAGATGTAGAGAAATTATACAGTGTAATTATCCTAAACTTTTATAAATTTGGTTTTATCTAATTTTCAGGTGTTTCACTCTCACTTACAACCTAAGATGAAAAGTACGCAAAAACCTGAAGAACCTCTCTTTGCGATGCGGGGACTCATTCAGAGGAAGCCATTGTCTTTCCTTGAGCTAGATCCAGGGTGTCATCTTATCATTAAGTCTGAGCTCACATAGTGTTTATAATCAGTGTGGGAGAAATCCAGAAAGATGTGGAATTTCTCCCAGCTTAGTGATAGCTTTGATTTTTAAGTGTAGATTGGTAGTAAGCCCCAGAAGTAAGGTTTATCTTAAGTTCGTAGGTTCATTTATTTCTGAGAAGAAAACAAAATAGAGTATGTTCCCCTTTTTTATTCTTTGAGGAAGGCATTTACCATGTCATCAGTCAACGTGTAAATCTTGATTTTCCTTCATTCATGGTGACCGCTTGTTTTCTAGGTCTCTGCGATGAAATGTGGCCTCTTGCCAATCTCCCCTGAGGCACTTTCCCTTGGAGAAGTGGCTTATCATGATTATCATGGGATTCTCATTGATGAGGAGGAAAAAGTTTTAATTCAGAAAAACTTGGGGCCTAAAAGCAAGGTCAGTAGGCATCTAATCTAGTATTTAAGTTATAGAGGGAAGAAGAAAAAAGTGAAGTGTGTCAGTGGTCTTGTTGAGCTCCATAGAGCTTTCATGTTTTCCCCGTCAGGTTCTTATTCTGCGGAATCATGGGCTCGTGTCCGTTGGAGAGAGCGTTGAAGAGGCTTTCTATTACATCCATAACCTTGTGGTTGCATGTGAGATCCAGGTCGGTGGTGGCCCTTCCATTCAGTCTGTGGTTTATTTAGGTGTTTGCAGTGTTTCCATAGATTTTTGTTACGTGTTTTGCAGGAATGAGTCTTTGAGCAATCTCTTTGCCAAAGATGAGCTCATAGATTTGGAAATTGACCAGGGAAGATGCCATTTCACTGATTTAAGTTGGCAAATGATTACTGGGCTTTTTATTTCTAATTTTTTAATTTTTCAAATATGTAAGTCACTACCATTTATGGAGTACTAGTGTGCGCCAGCTGTGGTATCAGGTGCTTTACGTATGTCATTACATGTTATTTCATTTGACCCTCGTGGCACTCCTGAAAAAGCAGGTGCAGAGAGGTAAAGACTTGCCCAAGGTGTCATGGCTGTGAGTACCACTTAAGCCAGGTCTGCTCGAGCCCAAGTTCATGCTCTCCCCACTGTTACCCTGACTTATGTCTGTGCAATAATGCAGTCCCCAGTCTCCTTCATACAATCTCGAAAGGTGCTTTGTCTTCCTATTTCTCTTCCAAGTATGAGTGCCCAATGTGTTTGTTCATGCTAAAGAAAAAGTTCTGACAGTAATGTTGTGATTAGTCTATCATCCTACATTTTTTATTCTTATACTCTGATGATTTGGTTTCTTTTGAAACTCACATTTCTCTTTAAGTGATCTCATAGTCATTCAGTTCTCTTGCTCTCTGTAAGGAACTCAAACTGTAGTGTTTGCTTGTTTTTTTTTTTTGGTTTAAACAACAGAAATTTATGTTCTCACAGTTGTGGAGGCTAGAAATCCAAAATCAAGGTATCAGCAGGGTTGGTTTCTTCTAAGGCCCGTGTCTTCACATGGCCTTCCCTCTACAGTTCTGTGTCCATATTTCCTCTTCTTATAAGGACACCAGTCATATTGTATTAGGGCCCACTCTAATGACTCATTTTAACTTATTTTCTTTTTTAAAGACTATCTCCAAATACAGTCACATTCTTAGGTACTAGAGGTTAGGACTTCAACATTTGAATTTTGAGGGATACATTTCAGCCCAAAACACCACATGCATTATCAGGATACAAAGCTTTTGGCTCTGTTTTTATAACCATGAGATTTTAGTAAGAAACTTAACTGGTCTGGTCTGCCTAAGTTTTCTTCCAGCTGTGACATATCATAATGTAGGTCAAAACTTATATAAATATAAATATCCCAGAAATTAACATGTGTAGAATTATTTATTAAAGTTATGTGTTCTGTGAGGATTGTTCATTCTTTTTTTTTTTTTTTTAATTTTCTGTTTATTGCAGTAACATTGGTTTATAACATTGTACAAATTTCAGGTGTTACATTATTATACTTCTATTTCTGCATAGATTACATCATGTTCACCACCCAAATACTAATTACAACCCATCACCACATACATGTGCCGAATTATCCCTTTCGCCCTCCTCCCTCCCCCCTTCCCCGTTGTTTGCTTGTTTTGGAAAAGGTTCGAACTCTGGCCAGTGCAGGAGGGCCCGACAACTTAGTCCTCCTGGATCCTGGGAAGTACAAAGCCAAATCCCGTTCCCCGGGGTCCCCAGCAGGGGAGGGCACCGGATTGCCTCCCAAGTGGCAGATTGGTGAGCAGGAGTTTGAAGCCCTCATGCGGATGCTTGATAATCTGGTAAGAATGTTGCCACCACTTGATGATAAAACTGTTCTTCTGAAAGCACAGTTGTTGATGTTTTCATAACGAGTGAAACAGTGTTGTGAAATTGCTGTCTTCGTGCAGTATCTGAATGCTTTCACCCTCAAAAATCATGAAGAAGCACCAGGGCAATTTAACTCCTGAGCTAAATCGTTATAAAATACAGAGTGAGGGTTTTTTGTCTTATTTTGTCTTATTTTATTTTGAAGATAATCGTGTTTGGATTACTTGTGGGGACAAGAGCACAGAGAACAGTCTACTCTGCAGGAGGCTGCTGGATAACTGACTCCTAGAGTTAGCAGAGTCAGCTCAGTGCCCATCGTCCCACAAGCAGGCCATTGAGGGGTGACTTTCTAGATCAGTCAGCCAAGTGTTTTGTTTTTTGTTTTAATAGTAAGCTCTAGCTATTTGGGGCCCGCTTACTGTGTTCCACAGCCATTTGCTGCTGGTTTACTGTGTGGGGATGTGGACCCCGGCATGGTACAGAGGCTGACTGTGGAGCTTTCAGCATCATAGGGATGTGATGATAATACTTATCAGGATGTGGTCTGTGTTAAGGGGTTTCAGTGAGGGATTTCATCCTTTTGCAAGGATCAAGGAGAAAACTATGTAGAAGATGGCACTTAGAAACGACCTCAAAGAATAGGTAGAATTGTGATAGGCTGAGTTGGGAGAAGGATGGCATCCGCTGCAGAGGTGCAAGCACAACCGAAGACACAGCAGTGGGGAGAACCAAATCCATCTTTGATTTTACCAGGTTCTTTAAGTATTCAGAACAAGGTCCTTAGGGTTGAAGCAACCACATTATAGGATGAACAGCTGTGTAATGGGACCCTTTTCAGGCTGCAGTGTGGGTGGGGTTCAATAAAGTACATCCTACTGCCACATGGGTTATTAGGTGGTGGAGATGTGAGGACCTGTCATGGGAGTGTGGGACAGAGAAGCCTTAGGAAGGCCTGGAGTCCTCTTGTGTTGCCGTGGATCTGCTGGGTGCTCTAGAGAGCAGCACCGGGGCCAGTGGGACACATTCCTACCTAATGTAAGAAAGTCCCTACTGTTGGACCAGGTCACAGATGGGATGAGTGGCTGCAGGAGGGAGGAAGTTTAACTTTCCTGAAGATTTTAGAACAAAAAGAATTCATGGGTCATCTAATTCAGGGTATGCTAAGTGTCCTTGGGCTAAGTGTCCACAGGAGTACATTCAGTGAGGGAGAAGTGAACAGAGAAGGAAGAATCTTCCATAACTTCTGAATTCATTTGCTCAGTAAAGATGGATTGCACTAACTGACTGTCTACTATTGAGCCTTTTGCCATGAACAGAACACAGTTCTTGCCTTCAAGGAGTTCATGACCTAGTCAGGGAAATGGACAAACAAGTCCCAGATGCAGCCAGCACCTGTGATCTGTGCCCTGACAGAGCATGCGAGCTGCAGGGGCAGAGATGGGGCATGGGCCAGGATTGGTCAAAGGAAGCAAGAAGAGGAACAAAGCTCACTAAGAAGATGGAAGAAGCAGTTGGAGTTAGGTAGCAGACCAGGATAGTGCAACCTCAGCAAAGTCACATCTGGAGGGGGTTTGAGAGTGGGGCAGTGGTGGCCCAGGTGTCAGCATCAGGAGTCAGCTTCCAGAGGTGCCTGGCAAGGGGAAGAGTGCTGGGGTGGCCCCAGTCTTAGAGCCCTTCTTCTCTCCTCCTGCAAATATTTTGATGTTTCACTGCTCTTTTACCTCAAAGTCAAGTGGGGAACAAGAGAGGAGAATAAGAATCAAGAACACCAGCCCACCACATCTTGTACACTCAGTATGTTCTGGAGAGTGGAGAGAGAAATCCCAATTAGGCAGTAACTCTAATTTTCTAAAGAAAAAAACCCACACCCTCTCAGGATAAAAACCTGTGAATTCCTGAGTGGTTTATCCTGAAGTCATGGAGGTTAGTCAAGAGTCTTGGCTCTCTAAGCAAGAGGAAACTTGAATTAATAATACCTGTATTTTTATGAAGATAGTCTTTTTTGTAGCTGAGTCGTTATCTTTTATTATTTCTCAACAAAGCACGTGCATAAATGGAAAAATTGCCAGTGCAGACATTTACCTATTTTCCTGAGGATAGTTATGGAAAACAACAACAGCAACTCCATTTAGGAATTATTAGCAAGTTTTTTTTTTTTTTTTTTTTTTTAAAGATTTTTTTTATTTTATTTTTTCCCCCCAAAGCCCCAGCAGATAGTTGTATGTCATAGCTGCACATCCTTCTAGTTGCTGTATGTGGGACTCGGCCTCAGGATGGACGGAGTAGTGGTGCCTCGATGCGCACCCGGGATCCGAACCCGGGCCGCCAGCATTGCAGCGCGCGCACTTAACCACCAAGCCACAGGGCCGGCCTATTAGCAAGTTTTTAATGTATTAAAAGAATAATGGGTAATGAAGGTAGTCCCCCAGAGATGGGAAGCAGCCGGGGGGAGAGAGAATTCCTGAATTGAGGGGCATGTGAACGTTTCTAAAGTACCTGGGCAAGCAAGGCGCACGCACTGACTCATCTTTCATGATGAGCCCTGTGTAATCCTTTCAAATCTTAATTTTCCTGTCACTCATTGTGAAGGTGCTGTGAATGACTTAGTCCACATCTGAAACTGTGGGTCAGGAGTCCAGGCACAGCTGAGCTAGGTCCTCAGCTTAGGATCTCATAAGGCTTCATTCAGGGTATTGACCCAGCCTGGGTTCTCATCAGAAGGCTCAACTTGGGGAGGATCCACTTCTAAACTCGCAGGTTTTTCTTTCAGCTATAGGAGTCATGGCAGCTTACTTCTTCAGAGCCAGCAACAGACAGAGAGACTCTCTTAAGATGGGCGCTACACTCTTACGTAATATATCCCATTACCTTTGCCGAATTCCACTGGTTAGAAGCAAGTCACAGGTTCTGCCCACACTCCATGGAGGAGGGCAATACCGGAGGTGGGGACCATGGAGACCACCGTAAAGTCTGTCTGCCACACTCACCAAATGCTAAGCACTGGATAGGAGGGTTAAGTAAAGACACTCTCCTTGCCTTGGAAAAGCTGTCTGTGGGAGATGAACAAACAGGGTGGTCCAGCACAGTGGGCTTAGTGCTATTACAGAGGCATGAATTAGTGGGGCACGTGTTTTAAAGCATAGTAAATGGTCATGAGGCACAGTTGAAGGTTGAACTTGGACGTTGTTATATTCAAAGATAAAGTAATTTTGCCAAGAACTAGTTGTCGTGAGGTGTACTTGTTTGGTCTTCCCTAAAGATTATCACAGCTTAAACTTTGACTTAAAAGGTAAAAGAAATATTAAGTAGGTTGTACTGTAGCCAGCAGCAAGTAAGCCCTGGTTTTTAAATTTTAGCTTTTTGTTGAAATACAATGTATGAACAAGAGCGTGTACCTATTTAAGTATTCATTTTAGTAATTTTTAAAAACTGAACACACTGTGTAGCCAACACTCAGATCAAAAAACAATATCAGCGCCTCAGAGCCCCTCGTCCCCCTTTCACTCACTTAACCACATCCCAAGAGTGACCACTGTCCTATCTTGTAACAGCAAAGATTGGTTTTGCCTCTTTTTGTACTTTTTATAAATGGAATCACACAGTGTATTCTTTCCCATTTGGTTTGTTTTAGTTAGCAGCATATTTGTGAGATTCATCCTAATGTTGCACCTAGTAATAGAGTTTTTGTTCTTATTGTATCATATTCCATTATATGCATATACCACAGTTTATCCATTCTACTATTGATGGACTTCTGGGTCGTTTCTAATTTGGGGCTTTAGGAATAGTGCTGCTGTCAGCATTTTAGTACCTGTCTTTGGGTGAACATATTTGCATTTCTGTTGGGCACTTACCTGAGAGTGGAATTGCTGAGTTGTAGGTATGTGTATGTTCAGCTTTTGTAGATATTTCCACAGTTTTCCAAAGTGAAACTCTATTTTGAGATCTGGAATATTGACTGTCTTTCACTCTCTCTGGACTCTAGGGCTACAGAACTGGCTACCCTTACCGATACCCTGCTCTGAGAGAGAAATCTAAAAAATACAGCGATGTGGAGGTTCCTGCTAGTGTCACAGGTTACTCCTTTGCTAGTGACGGTGATGCGGGCACTGGCTCCCCTCTCAGACACAGTTTTCAGAAGCAGCAGCGAGAGAAGACAAGATGGCTGAACTCTGGCCGGGGCGACGATGCTTCTGAGGAAGGGCAGAATGGAAGCAGTCCCAAGGCGAAGACTAAGGTGTGGACGAACATTACACACGATCACGTGAAACCCTTGCTGCAGTCTCTCTCGTCCGGTGTCTGCGTGCCAAGCTGTATTACCAACTGCTTGGTCTGTGCCTACCTTACTGTTCATAGTTAGATGATGTAGAGCAAGTTGGGTAGTTGGGGCTTCGGAGGCTTTGGGAATCCAGCCCTTCTGACCCAGATTGAAAGCAAACCTTCCTCATTAACCTCCTTTAGCCAAAATCCACTTTATGCATCAGCTATAATTAAAGTAATATTGTCTGCTTGAAACTGCTTAAGATATAGTGTGCCTCTTCAGTAATTCTGTTACCTAACTCCATACATAGCAAAATACAAAATAACTTACATGTATTAACCTAAAAATAGGAGCTGTCATTGAATTCAAATTGTATTTAAGGAATCTTAACACTTCCTGCATGAAAAAGTAGTTCAGTTTTAACTTTCTTTTAGTGTTGTAAACTCCAGTGGTTTCATTAAGTCACTAAAGTCTGTTCTTTTAAAGTCTTAGTGTTTTCTTAAGCAGTTTTCCTTCGTGGCTCACGGGCATTTTCTCAGCTGACCCTCGCCCTCTCTTGTTAGCCTTGTTCCCTGCTTGCTGTCCCAAAGCCTCCGAACGCTCTCAGCCAGCTACCTTCTGCATGGACTGTTGCATGTGAGTAGACGGCCATAGTGGTGAGTCTTCTGACTCCTGCTGGGTGCGGCATGACCCAAGTGCAGCGCAGGCCATCGGCAGGCACCAGCGACAGACGCTGCGTGGCGTGCTCATTTCAGTAGTAACGCTGCCCTAAAAGATACTCTGCTGTCCTGGTGCTCAGACGTCCCTGTGAAGACTGGTCTTCACTACCCCTAACCTAGCCTTTGACAGTCCACTGGCTCCTGTGTTACAGAGTAGGAGAGGCCCCTGGAATGGAGTCTTTTGTGAGGAGACTGAGGCCGGGACGGATTCGCTCTGCATGACTGGTTCTGTAGGAGTTCAGATGAGATTAGGTTAGATATCCTAAAATAGTGGGCACTAAGTGAGCAAAGTGGGCTTTGTGTTCCCTTATAACAGTGCTTTTACTTTATAGACGTATATTTAAAAGAAAAAGTTCTGTCTCCCCCAGGCGGTTCTGGTGTTTTCCTGATGCACAGTTGGTGAGAGAGCCTCTGTGCTCCTAAGCAAACGTGTCATGTGGGCAGAGATTCTGCGTGAACATGGCTGGGCTCAGTGTCTGAGCTAGTCTCTCCTCTTTTCTTCTCCCTCCTGCCCTCCCTCTCTACCTTTCTTTCATTTCATTTGTTTAGTTTTTACTTATTTTGCTTGTTAAAGGGAGTGGGCCTGAAAAACAACTTTCTGCTGATGATACAAATACAAAGTGCTCAATTGCTGTGATGAATTCTTGCAAAGTATGTGTATAGCAGCAGCTCTAAAGCTTTATTTACTATTAGTTTGAAAAAAATATTAAATCACTTTAGGTATTTTAGTCAATGTATACTTTGAATGGGAAACCTTGTTCAGTATTTAAATTTGTTTCTTGTCGTTCTGGAGTAATCCAAATTCCATGCAGTGTTCCCAGGTTGGTATATTAATTTATAATAATTGTTCTTAAGTTTTCAAATGTGTTTAAGCTTCTGAGGTTGTTGTTTTAATGTTTTGACTAAAAATTATTTTTAATAAGAAGCTGGAGTTATTTTTATCTGAGAAGATAACCATCAGTGAGTATCTCACAGCTCCATGCCCATTCCACACTTTCCTTCACAGCGGCTAAGCATTTGACAGTTTTGTTGCTTTCTTTCAAGTCTTACGGTTTATGGCTATTTTATTGCCTCTTGAAAATATTTTGAAAGGCATAACATTTGCTCTCTAAGATGGGCTTGTTTTAATGTTCAGTGCCTATTCATGCCTAAGAATTAGAATTTGATTAAAAATCTCATATTTGATTGGAGATCCAAAAAAAAAAATGTGAAAGGCACAGTGTGCTCATGACGTGCGCTGATATCTAAAACCAGCCTTCTAATAAGAACTCATGAAGCGCTTCAAGTTTCTTTGGGATATTTTTGTAACACTCAAAAGTATTGAGTTATATAAAATATTCGACATCACCAAACTCTTCCACCAGGGAGCTACTATATAAGTGTTCATTCAGTGATTTTCTTGGGTTGAAATAACTACACAACAGTGCATTCTGATGCTATAGTTTATTTTAATGCAAAACTTTGGTGATGCCCACTCTTGCCTCACAGTAGAGTCTTCCCCGACATGGGGTAGCAACATCACACTGCTTCTCATGATCCTGTCATCTCACGCTTCCAGCTGGCTTTAGTGTTGATGACTCTCAGAGCGGTGAACCAATGTGCTCTGAAGGGTCCCCCACTGGCTAGTCCGCAGGAGTTACAGGGCATAGTTCTGTCGTCAGCCTGAGTCATGCCCTATTTTTCAACTGTGCTTTCTAAATGGCGCTTGCCGGTCAGTCACAACTCTGGCTTCCACCATTACTGGTTTCTGTTTGGGCATGCACTGTCCTGATCTGACTGCTGCAGTGACACAGGAGGTGTGGTCATTGGTTCATTCTCTGTGATGTTCAGTGCATGACCAGATGTGAGATAAGTTGGACAAATTGGATGCTGTGGTGTTACTTATTGTTATCACAATTCTGACTTTTCAACTGTTCTTGATGTTACAGTGGACTAAAGAGGATGGACATAGAACTTCCACCTCTGCTGTCCCTAACCTGTTTGTTCCATTGAACACTAACCCAAAAGAGGTCCAGGAGATGAGGAACAAGGTGCGTACTGACTGCCATCAGCACTCAGTGGAAATCTGTGTGTGGGAGAAGGCAGCAGTGGGTTGGGTGGGATGCTCACTGCTGCAGGGGCAGAGAGTGCTTGCTCTGGCAGAGGACTTCTGCTGCCACCACTACTGCAGCTGAGGTTGGCTCTTTACACTGCTTTTGCTGTTGTGCTAATAAAATATGATATGTGAGCAGCAGACAGTTTTGGACCACAGAGGCTTCTCTGTACTGTTGATGTGTGTTTCTCCTTCTTGCCGTCCTCAGATCCGAGAGCAGAACTTACAGGACATTAAGACGGCTGGCCCCCAGTCCCAGGTTTTGTCTGGTGTAGTGATGGACAGGAGCCTCATCCAGGTGAGAGCTCAGAATGTCTCTGTCTTTAGTGGGTGGTGGCTCTAATGACCATTTGCTCCAAAATTATTCTTAAGTTGGGAGAGAATGGCTCTAGGAGGTAAGTGTTCTAGGCAACAAATTAATCTTTGTTAAAAATCTTCATAAGAAATAACCCAGCCACTTTTCCTTGAGTTATAGACCAAGCATAAGCATGCCCAATGGCTGTGTCCTCCCTCCAGCCCTGCTTCATGTTAATGCATGCCTCTGTGAGGGCAGCACATATGCCACCTGCTTTGGGGCCTAGATTTGCCCCAGTTTTAGCGGTGTAATGTGTAAAATGCTAGAAGAGGGTGGGTTTAATGAACTTTTGTTCTTGTACATATTGCTGTCTGCAACAAAGTGCTGCTTGGGGAAAAGTGGTTGCAGAGGGTACCTGTAAATGTGGCCCACATTTACACGCATTTCTATAAAACAACTGTACCTCGTGGCACATTGAAGATAATTGTGTAAGTAGTTATCTCTGAAAATTAAGTTGCCACTTAGTGCTTTAAACACAAGTCTACAGGGTAGGTGATTGTTGTTGCATTTTCTGAATTTGGCCAGCTGTGGTCCTGATTCTGTGGTCCGTGTTTGCATGTGGCACCGCCATCACCCTGCATTCACTGTTGACGGCTGTCTCTGCTGCATGCTCTCAGCTGGCTCCGTCCTGTCCTCTTGGCTGATATTTCAAAGCTGGGCCTGGTGGGCTCTGATGACTCAGTTTACTGTTGCAGGACGCACCCCTCTCTGACTGTACGGAAACAATCGAAGGGCTCGAGCTTACAGAGCAGACCTTTAGTCCTGCTAAATCTCTCTCTTTTAGAAAGGTACTCACTGCCCTGTCCTTTACCTGCGCTGTTCTTCTACCTGCCCTGTCCCTTACCTATCTGCTCTTGCTAGGCATTGTCTTAGTTACTGAAGTAGCTTTAAATGGATCTCTAAATTATTTGTGAGACTGTACAGAAGGTTCTGTTCTGCCTACTCTATTCTTTAATTAAAACATTTGGTATGAGGTTATTTTTATAATTTTCAGTGTTCTATGTTGCTGAGAAATGGCCGATCTTAATGATGTGGTGCATTTCTGAAGTTCTGCATGTGACTTTGGTTAGTGCATGTTTTTGGGTTTTAGGAATTTGCCTTTTACAAGATGCCCATTGCAAAAGGCTCATGTGGGCAGACTGTGAGCCTTGGCGGCTCTCTCCTGTGCGACCTTCTATCTTCACTTGCTCAGCTCTGACTGTAAACGTAATGAATGTGGCAATTGGAGGTTGTATGATTGAAAGATGTCATTTCACAGCAATGGGAAATAAAACAAGACAGTGTTTGTTGTTGATGAAATGTATTTATTTTTACCTTTAAAAAAACCCTAGATAATTTTTTTAAATGTTGCAAGGGGAAAAAAGACTTAGGAAAATTTGAAACCCAAAATTATAATTCTTTTTTTTTTTTTTTTAAATATTTTATTTATTTTTTTACCCCAAAGCCCCAGTAGATAGTTGTACGTCATAGTTGCACATCCTTCTAGTTGCTGTATGTGGGACGTGACCTCAGCATGGCCAGAGAAGCGGTGCGTCGGTGCGCGCCCGGGATGCGAACCTGGGCTGCCAGCAGCGGAGCGCGCGCACTTAACCGCTAAGCCATGGGGCCAGCCCAAAAATTATAATTCTTTATGTACATGCATACCTAATGTGTACAATAGGTGGGAAATCTATCTGGCATAACTTGCCCAGATAGAAGGAAACCGTCTCTAAAGCATTCAGGCTGCTAGTGTGCAGAACTTGGTGCTGAGAGCAGAAAGTGGCTGACTGCCCGGTTTAGAGTCTTTGTTATGTTCACCCTGTGTCCAAAGGAAATTTTCAGGGTCTGTCTCCTTCAATTAATACACCTCCAGTGAGATATCATTTTAGTGATGTTCCAATTGCCAGAGAGAAGCAGATTTGTACCAAAGATTCTGTTATTCCTGTCTGGAATCCCTGCTAATAACATTTTTTGCATATTTATGTATTAATTTAATGGGTCTCGCTTTTCATCATCCTTAGAATGTACTTCCAGCTACCATTCTTGGAGGAACTTCTCAGAACAAGGGAGAAAGATGTATTCTTATCCGTGTCAGCTTGTTTTTCATGTTTTGGTACTTTGGGCTGTAAGCTGTTGTGATCTTATTAGTTCATAACTCTTTATCTCAGATGTGTGAAGATGTGTTGAGTCCATGAGCCCAGGGGACTTACCGTGCAGAGCCCCTGCGTGGGTGCAGCCCTCTTGCTTTGTGGGCCAGAGCCAATTTGTACAGATTCATTGCTATGCAGTCTCTTTGGCATTATACTGCATTTAGTGCTTTCTTTTTGCATCTTGTTAGGGCTGTCTAGAAGGCAGACTGGTTAGTTGTATTAAAGGATGCTTTTTTTTTCCCCACTGAGGAAGATTCACCCTGAGCTAACATCTACTGCCAATCTTCCTCTTTTTTTATGTGAGCTGCCACCACACAGTATGGCCACTGACAGACGAGTGGTGTAGGTCTGCACCTGGGAACTGAACCTGGTCCGCTGAAGCAGAGCACGTGAAACTTAACCACTAGGCCACCGGGGCTGGCTCTCAAGGATGCTTTTTTGGCCAGTTCCTCATCCAGTCCTTGTCTTGTTTTTGCTTTGTGCAGCAGTGCTCAGACGTGTGTGTGCATCCCGGTCACCTGTGAATGCTTCATGAAGGGTAGACGTAGGGCTTCCCCCAGCCTGGCTGGGAAGTCAGAGTCTGTGCAAGTGGGATTCCTGGCGATTCCGGCATCCTCCCCACAGTCTGAACACCATGCTCTCTGTGAGTGATGTGTCCAGGTGGAGTTAGCAGAGGACACCACTCAGTGCTGAGCCCCATTGAGGAGATGTTGATGCCCCTGTCCATGGAGTCTCATTCCAGCTTTTGTTTTCTCCACCGCCCACTTGCTGATGCTCATATTTGCATGCTTGGTCTTTTTCCCACTGACTAAGCATATTTCATTTTTATGGTGAGAATGTGCTTTTACTTCACCAATGTCCTTGACTGGGACTGCTTCCACGTCCTTTTGTGTGGACCTCAAAACACAGATTGCATTGCTCCTTCTGGAAGACAGCACTGCTTGCTGGCAAGTTGAATTCCTCCTTGACCAGGTGAAAAGGACTGTGTTTGTTAAATGTCCTAAAAATGTCCTCTTCCCAATAAGGCAAGTGTATAGATACTTGCTTCCCATTTGAGAACCTGAGGAGTGGGTATTTGGGACTTAGGAAGTTGGGGCTTTTCTGGAAGGACTTGCCTTTGCTTCCATCTCTCCCTCACTGGTGATGGCCATTCACACAGGGCAAGTGTTGTCTTCTGACAGAAAAAGGGGCAGCGAGTCATCAGCCACACCCTGAAGCTCCAGTTCTAAAAAGAATACTAAGCCCAGCTGAACTTCAGCATTGTGTGTGCCAAAATGTAACCTGAAGTAATTTTGGCTGTCATTTAGATTTTATTATAAGTGAACTGAGTCAGAGAATAAGGTGTGAAAGTTTTCTCTGAAAGCTGTCCAGCGCAGGGAAGAACTCTGCTGTCCGATTTGTGCAGCGCAAGCGTCCCTGTTCTGTGTGCACCTGTGTGCAATCAGGGGCCTCGTCCTCCTGATTGCTTCCTCAGAAATGCAAGGGGGCCTGGGCTGCACCCTGCGGACTCACTCAGTGAACTTGGTGTTGAGCACCTGGTGTATGTGTGGCCCAGCACTGAGAAGGTAAATTCAAATCTGAGTAGGTTTTACAGCTGAAAACCTGATGCTCAGCGAGGTCAGATCACTAGTCCAGGTTTGCACAGCTTCAGAGATGGAGCTCTCATTCCGTGCAAGCTGCCTCAGTCAAGTGCAGAAGTAGTTATTGGGCATCTGTTTTGTGTAGAGCCCATGTTAGGTGACTAGAAGTGAGGGAAGCAGCAAGAGCCTCTGTGTGGCCTGCTGGAGGGAGCAGCCATTCCACATCCTGATTTCTCAACCCGGGTTGCTCCACGGGGTCTGGTTCCCTCCGTATCTCAAGCATTGCTGCCTCCTTCCCTCCAAAGTAACGGAGTTGCTCTGCCCTCGTCTGTTCAGAGCTGATGTTGAGGCTGAGGAATTTGGTAGAGGGAGCCCCCTGCCAGTGGAGGCAGGAACTGGCCGTGTCACACCTTGAGGACCTGGTGTCCTGGCGTGGGAAGAGCCTTGCTTGTCCAGAGTGTCTCTGTGGCAGTTGATTCTTGATATTTTATTCCTTTACTAATTTTGATTACACATTTTGTGTGTGTGTGTGTGAGGAAGATCAGCCCTGAGCTAACATCCATGCCATTCCTCCTCTTTTTGTTTGCTGAGGAAGACCGGCCCTGGGGTAACACCTGTGCCCATCTTCCTCCACTTTTATATGGGACACTGGCACAGCATGGCTTGACAAGCGGTGTGTTAGTGCACACCCAGGATCTGAACCCTGGACAGCCACAGCAGAGCACACGCACTTAACCGCTACGCCACCTAGCCGGCCCCATTTTGAACATTTGATTTAAATGAATTTAAACATTTCTCTCAAACCTCATATCACCTTCTCATTTTATTGGCAGGATGCAAATGCACCTAGCCAAGTTGCCATAGACTTATAGAATGTTAGTGTGCAGTGGGATCTTAGCCATCGTCAGCCCAATAGGCTCCTGTCAGGGATAGTAAAACTGAGGCCTGTGGACAAGAAGGGGCTTGTCTTGGACCACAGAGCTAACGAGTGGCAGATGAGGATTTGATTCCCTGCCTGGTGAGGCAAGGCTGCTTCTCAAGGAAAAGTCAGTTGACATTGGGTCAGGCCTGGTCTAAAACAGGGCTCCCCTTGACCATCTGGGTTATCTTGAATCTTGAAGCTCTCTGAGCAAAGGTTGCTGATTCCAGCAGGCCATTTCCTTCTCTCCCCTGGGGTCCGTCTGACTGATAATCAAGGAGTGCTCCAGACAATCCGTACCCACCTCACTGGACAGTGTTCACTCAGCCTTGGTTCCCCAGCCTCTGCCAGGGGAGCACTTGGCCCAGGTGAGCAGAATTTCCCCAGGATTTGCCTGGCTCTGTCTCTTGTGCACATTGTTAGGACGCTCTCTACCTCTGGTGTTCATCTCTTATGGAGGAGAGCGCTGAGGGACCAGGCTTGGCATCAAAATCATTTTGGATTCTCCTGTTTTCAGTTGTTTTTGGAAGCTCACGTTAAGTAATGGGCACGTGCGTGAGTTCTGGTTAACTTTCTCAGAAATGAACCCCAGAGCATTTGGGGGCCAACCAGGCTGAGCTGTGGGGCACAGAGCTATGCTAGGACAGGTGAGAGTGGGGTGGAATTCACACCCCCAAGGGCTACCTCCCTGCCTCCCTCCCTATGAGGCCTGCCTGCCTACTAAACCTGGCCTGCCGGGTCTGCATCCTCCTCGAAGGTTGGGAGGTTGGCCTCGTTTGTGAGCTGCCTCTTTGCTTGGCTTGCTTCTTGCTTATTTTCTTTTATACAAATTCTCACAGTTTTCCAAATTCCTCAGACAGATACTAGTGTTTTGTGACATTTTATCATCTCTCAGTGTGTTGGGGTGAATTCTAAGAGCTAGTTATAAACTAAACACGAAGTCAAAAGAACAGAACTTGTCTGTGCTCTTAGAATGGGAGCAAATCTCCGAACATACCTTACCTGAGTGTTGACCCATGACATTTTCTGATGTCATGAGGAGGGTCATTGACTTAAAAGTCCCCTCTTCCATCCCTGTCTGTCAGTGAGGAGATGGGATTCTCCTTGAGGTGCTCTGCGCTCTCGATCTGCACTTTGGTGCCTTTGCTTCTGAAACCTGCAGGGCTTTCCTAGAATTTCTTCTCCTGTCACATTCATTTTGTAGCATTGAAATCACATTTCTCTGTCTTCTACTCCTGAAGGCTACAGCTCAGCCTAAGCCTCAGGACCTAAGGCGATGCCCAGGCACATCTCAGGGATGTCTGTGTGCTCCTGGAGAGCCGCCCCGCCCTGCCTGCAGCCTTGCCTGGGAGGAGGGAGCATCCCCACGGGGCTGGGCTCCTGCAGAGCAGGCATCCATTTTTGTCCGCAGGGGGAGCTGGTGACAGCCTCCAAAGCCATCATTGAGAAGGAGTATCAGCCCCATGTCATCGTGAGCACCACGGGCCCCAACCCCTTCAACACGCTCACTGACCGGGAGCTGGAGGAGTACCGCAGGGAGGTGGAGCGGAAGCAGAAGGGCCCTGAAGGTGAGCGCTCCTGGGGTCCTGGGCGTGACGGGCAGGTTCAGCATGGCTGGTTCCAGAGGCGAAATAAAGCGCGCTGCAAGCTCCTCCGTACTCCAGGTGTTGACTGCAGAGCGCGATGAGAACAGTCACTTGCGTGAAAGACAAACCTTGTGTTTGGTTAAGACCAGAATGTTGGTCAGTACATGTTGCTTGCCTACTCATTTGGGCTAGTTCCTAAGGAATTAGAAGGTTAGAACACACTGGTGAATGGTCTGGGTAGGAGGAACCCACGAGTACATGTGTAAGAGAAGACGTCAGAGAGCTCCCGCTGACCACTCCCAGATATCCTGTGTGCTGTCATAAGACACGGTGGAGTGGCACCCCTCTGTCCTAAATGCCTCCACCAAAAGGAGGCCAGGCCTGAAGATACCCCTGGTCACCAGAAGCTGTTGTGAAGACGTGGGTGAGAGGGAAGAGAAGAGAAGGAGTAAATGAGCCTTTTGTGGCCTTGGCAGTACTCATGGGTGCACTCTGCCTCACGAGTTCCAGAGTGTGATGGGCGGTGCGCATTCTTCCAGCTGGATTGCTATCCACATTGAGTGATCAGGACATTCACAGCAGAACTCATTAATCTGGAATAGTTAGTGGGAAAGCCAGTCTGAATATTATTTTTACGAGACATTTAGCACTTTGACATATGTAGTACTTTTCTCATTTAACGTTTCACTGAGAAGAGGCCTTCCTTTGATTTGTATGATCTTATTAATACTTGCTAATTGTTTTTAAGCAGTTGCATTGTGCCACGCACCATGCTAAATGCTGTACACGCATGTAGTTCATCTAGTTCTCAAAATAACCTTGAGAGATGGGCCTGTTCCCATCAGTTAGAGCAGAGGAATCTGGGCTCAGAGAGATGAAGCAGGTACCCAAGAAGAAGGTTGTGCATGGCAGAGCTCAGATCTGGCCCAGAGTCTGTTTTCTGCACCACTGAGTGCTCAGTCTTCTCTCGCAGTCAGCTTGTGGCCTCTGCACATCTTCATCACAGTTGTATTCACAGCTTGGGGTCTTCTGACATACTCTCTTCCTCCATAAATTCTGAGGGTCCTCCTGGGGAGGCGTGATCACAGGCCTAGGGGCTAGCATGTTGACTGCTCTAGCACATTCCCAGACCATGTAAAGAGTGTGGCTGCGTGCTGGTGCAGCCTTTGTTTCTCTTGGCAACTCACTGATGGAGGAGGTCATGTTTTTGTAAATTGTGATGAGACTGTTTTACAACACATGAAAATAAACGGCTCTAAGAACCAGAACGTCATGGAGCAGGTTGTTTTAAACTTCCGGTTTTGAAAAGTAGATCCAAACATTTTGAGAACTAATGAGAGAAGTAAGCCTCCCACTGCCTTTACCATGAAGGCTCAGGTGGGTCTGAGTCTCTCTCCCTGAGTGTCCTTGGTTGGTACCAGGAAGACCCTGGGAGTCCCCACACCAGGAGGTTCACGCTGCTGTCCTCAGGGCCCTAAGCTCCAACCCTGGTCTTTGTACTGAAGCCTCAGGTCCTAAGTGTGGACCACACCACTTCTTCAGTTTGCCCCCTGAGAATCAGCTCTCCTGGAATGGAAGTCCCACCATGTGTGGGAGTGATGAGTACCTTCCTGGGTCGATGGGGGATTATCCTGGGAACTGTGTACTGCTTCTAAGACAATCTCTGATTTTCCCCAATTTAACTTTTTTTTTTGGGTCTTGTTTTAGACCAACTAATGCATTATGTAGCTGCTATTGAAATTTGCGTTATACAAAACACTATTGCTGAATTCTTTGTCAGTATGTGTTACACTATCACTGCCTATCACTTTCTGTTAGATGTACATTACAATTAAGACTCATTGCACATTGACTCAGAGAGAGCCCTATTTTCCCGTCACAGTGGGCTCTGATTCTGATCGGTGTCCCTTGAATGGCGCACGCAGCCCTGCAGAAAGCTTTATCTGAGCCGTGGCCATAACTGCCTGCCTTAGAGTGAGAACTGGGGTGATGTGTGGGCTCTTGTCCTGTGTCCTAATCCCAGTTCCTCTGCACATGTACGTGTGTCTGCTCTTTGGACCCTTCCAGTGTCTCGGAAACCTGGATTTTTTTTTTTTTTTTTTTTTATGTCGAACCACAAGACACACAAGAGTTTCCCCTACATGTGAGGCTTGATCAGGAGGGATGGTACAGCAAGTGAGTGGATGGGACAGCTGTGATCATGCTCTGTGATCAATCACAGAGCTGTCAGCAGTGGAAGTGCCACCAGGGGCACTGCCAAGAGACCCCTGCCTGGCACTGGTGGCTGGCCCTTCGCACGGGATGGGGTGGTGGTGGTTGTGTGCTGCAGGTGAGACAAGCTGTCTGTCAAAGGTCAGCACCTCAGGTAGGAGGAAAGAAAGCCTCTGGCCCCTTTTCCTGCTTGAGGGCATTTCTTCACTCAGGTGGGAGATGCAGAGGCCTTTGTTGATAGACAGCTGGCTTCAGGAAGGTAGCTGCAGGCTCAGGGGGCTTAGGGATGTAGGCCAGCACCTCTGTGAGATCAGATGGCCTGCTGATTATAGCTGCTTGTTCAAAGGATGGGACCTAGTGATCGTAAGCTATTAATGTAAGAGGTTTAAATGAGAGAAGGAGATTTAAGGAATTAGGATAATATTGGTATATATTTTTCCCTAAATGAGAAGTAGACTTGGAATTTTCTGGATCCTGGATGCTAGTGCCTGCAATTTTTTCTCTGGTCCTTATTAACATATTTTACTTTAGAAATAAAAATATACATTACAATTGGTGAGTTTAAATTATTGGTAGAAAATGCTCTACATAAAAAATTAAACAAAAGTCATGCTCATGTAACATCTCTTGAGGTGGTGAGTAGGGTGAGGCTGCTCAGGACCCTGGGCTGCTTGCTTAGCAGTGGGAGAGGCTTCTCACTGGGGGACAGGAGAGGACAGGTCAGGGGGGTCACCAGTCACAGTGTGTCACAGAGCCAGCTCTGGCAGATTCTCTTTAGAATAAGAATAGAAATTAATTTTCTGTCCAAAGTTGATTAAATCTTTCTGAAATTCAGATCCACACACCAGTCATAATTGGCTTCCTTCATCCTCTTTTGGAGAGGAATGAGGAAAAGGATGAAGACAGCCATGGCTGTGAGTCCTTCCGGGTCTCTTGGATGCACCCTAAGAAGCCCCAGCCGTCCTTCCTGAGGCAGCCAGAGAGGCAGGGCAGGAGGGCCCATCTGCCCTTGAGGAGGGTGAAGGCTCATGGTGTCTAAAACTCCTGACCATGATGTTCTCACTTTTTGTACATCTGCAGAGAATCTGGACGAGACTAGAGAACAGAAAGAACAGAGCCCTCCAGAGCACCCTGCTGCCCCCCACACACCCCCCAGTACCCCTGTCAAGCTTGAGGAAGGTGAGCTCGGGGATGTGGCTGCCCTGGTGTGGGGGGTGCATGGCCTTATGTGGACTGGCATCCACCAGGAGGGGGGGCGCACTTGGTGTTTTTGTCCAGTAGAAGGAAAGCAACTACGTGTGGCAGTAGTTGAATTGACCCTAATAAGCAAGTGTGCATTTGCATGGAAACCAGTACATCACGTGGTTCTGAGCTTGCCCAGCCTCCTCCACTCCTGTTGTGGTTCTGTCCTGGGTAACTTGGGGCAAAACAGATTGGTTAGTGAGATGTCACAACGAGGTAGGAGAGACACCATGGAGAGCACTGGTCTCCGGGGGCCTCTCAGAGAGCCCGCCGCATGTCTGTGGTGTGTGGCCTGTGTGTCTGTCCCTCGGTCTTGTACGTCGTGCTTCTCGTGCCTGTCCTGTCAGGTTTCACCTCATTCTGTGTCCACAAGAATGGCTTGGCCATTCTCCTTCTGTAACTCAATGGCTGTGACTGAATGCATAGACTCTCTACCTGTGCTTTTCTCTTCTCGTGGCTGCCTTACAAACAGGAGGTGGATGTGCTAAAGAGTACCTGTTACCATAGTAAGTACCGCCCGCCTTCTGGCCCTCTGCTAGTTAACCAGAATCCCCTGTGCTTTGCCTCATTCTCCTGCTTCTTTGTTGCTTATTAAGTTTTGTTTTCTGTTTATTCAAAATAAAAACAGAGCCCCCTTGCCCCCTTTTTGTACCCAGTCCCTCCATTCTGGGCAGTGGCCTTCCTGGAAGGCGCTCAGTCACCTGAGCCCTGCCCTCAGGGCTCCCACGGACCACGGCAGTGCTACTCAGAGCACTCTGGGTCTCAGAAATTCTGGAGGGATCATGTTGTCCTGTTCAGCTTCTGAGACCCATGATTGCTTGATGGGAAGGTTTTGCCATATTGGATCAGACATAAATCTAGACTAGGTTCAGACAGGGTGGGATTGTGCCACCTGCTGCATGGGGTCGCATGTGTTTGGACCTTTGCTTAAGCTGGGTGCTTAAGCTTAATTTGAGGAGGGCAGAAAAGCGACATTTGGCGCTAGTTTTTTAAAGCGACATTTGGTCAAATGGTAAAAGTTCCCCTGAGCACCCACAGGCAACGTCTGCATGCTTTGCAGAGTGAATCCTGACTTCCTCCTGCCCCAATTAAGTAAGGGTATTTAATTATCTGGGGGCAGAGGGTGACTGCTGGGGGCGGGGATGGGGCAGCAGCTCCAGCACCAGAGCCAAAGTGCTAAGTGTTCAGGGCCCATAGCCTCCTGCAGCAGCTCCTCTCCCGCGCTCACTCAGCTCCATGTCACTGTCCTGATGTTCAGCTTGATTTTTAAGTACTAAACAGTTTGGTGTTACCTAACCTGCCAGTTGCTTGTAAGTTGACAGGCTATTTTTAAAAATCTACAAAACTGGTTTCCCCCAGGTTAGTGTAGAAATCTCATGATGGGAACCTTCACTGGAAACCCGCCTTCAGGCTATTTCTTTCAAACAAGTTCCATATTGCTCTTTTATGTTTCGATGTTCAAACTGTTAAGAGGGCTTGATTTTTGCCCCTACCCCTTACCTGACAGTTCATCTCTTTTCTTTTGATTAATTTTCCAGCCTAAAATGGCTTTATTTTGTTTGACATTGATGTGCACATGGGGTCTGGAAGTTAACACATGGTTTTCCACTGGCTGCCATGGTTTTCCATGGTTTTCTTCTTGGGGGAGACCAGATGTTGTGGACCCAAATTTAGGCTTAATTTCAGGACTACTAATACGTGCCCTTAGAGTTCTAAAGCAAACCTCTTTTCAAGTGTTGAACATAGAACATCATACTACTGAAAATGTTCTCAGCTTGCCTTGGTCACTCTGTGACTGGCGACCGAGACCCTGGGACCGAATCTGGTTTTGTCAGCGTGCCGTCTATGAAAAGGAGCTAAACACTGCCCTGAGACTGAGTCTACGTTTTGTACTATGAGCTACATCCAGCCTTGAAGTAGAGTATACCTTAAGTTTTCTTATTCTTGGTAAAAATCCCTCTAGTCAAATACAGTGGCAGTGTCTGTGCATGGCACTGCTTATCTCGAGATCCCCGTTTGAAGTCTGGATAGTTGACCTTTAACTCCATCTCTCCTGCCCTGCCCACCAGACCTGCCACAAGAGCCAACTTCCCGAGACGACAGTGATGCCGCCACCTTCAAGCCAACTCTCCCCGACCTGTCCCCTGATGAGCCTTCAGAAGCGCCTGGCTTCCCGACATTGGAGGAGGAGGAGGAAGAGGGGCTTTGTGAGGCCCGTGGGCCTCCAAGCCCCACCAGGTCCCCCACAGTGGCCAGCCCTGAGCCAGCCCCAGCCCAGGCAGCTGAAGAGGCCGCCTCCCCAGCTGCCGAAGAGGGGGCTGCCGTGGACCCTGGCAGTGATGGGTCTCCAGGCAAGTCCCCATCCAAAAAGAAGAAGAAATTCCGCACCCCCTCCTTCCTGAAGAAGAGCAAGAAGAGGAGCGACTCCTGAAGGCCTGTCCTGCACAGACTGACGCCACTGGCCTGTCCCCGATTGTGTCTCTTGTTCTGTCTTCTTGTGTAATGGAATGCAAAAAAGCTCATCCCTCCACGTAGCTCGAGCTCCCCTCACGGCGTGACCAAACCCCCACGTAGGCCGGTGCTAACTTGTGTGTGCACGCAGTGGCCCTTCTGCCCGGCCCTGCCGTTGGGCCCTCAGCCTTAGATTCTGGGAGACTTGCTCTCCACGTCCACCTTTGCGTCCTGCCCTGCTGGGACCAGCACCTCGGCTCATCTCAATCTGTTCCTTGGTGGCACGCTGTCCCCCGGGGTGTTGTCATGGTCCTGGCTGGACGGTCTGAGGCTCTGCTGGCTCTGGCCTTGACCTCTCTTGCTCTCCTTCCTGTTGTGAAGTAACCCATTCTTTGTGTCTGCTAGGCTTCCCTTCACCTCAAGGTCTCAGGTGACTGAAGCGGACTCGTAGCTTCCTGCTGGCATTATCTGCTCAGTGATCTCACTTTGTTCATATACACAAAGCCTCGGTCCTGTGAAAACACTCGGGTGCCTGCCAATGGCCTAGGGCATCGTGGCGGCCTTTGAGAGGTGGGTTTGGGCTGAGCCGGAAACCCCAACAGCAAATGGGCCTGTGTACACCCAACGCAACCTATGCATGGTCTAACCGATGACCTCGTGGCCAAAAACAGATTCAGGGGCTCACAGTTTCTTACTCACTGGAGCCTCTAGATTCTCCTAAGGATGGTGTATCAGGAGGGGGAAGAGTCCTTTCTAGAATTTTCTTTTGCAGGTTTGCAATTCACATTTTTGACTGTGAACATGAACGGGGCCACTTTTTACTTTAGTTTTCTCTCTAGGGCCTGCTGCAGACTGCAGCAGAGCGCTGTTCACCTATTTTGGGGGACGTGTTGGAACTGAGAAGGGATTTAATCTACTCTTACTTTAACTCAGCCTGAAAGATACCCTGTTTTTGATAAAAGATAGCTCAAGGTAGAAGTTGGCCCTGGTGGTCCCGACCTGACGTCTCCCACCAGTCACTTTATGGAGCCGTAACTTGCTGTCCTTGTTCGACACTGTCATGAATTCTCACTTAAGTCAGATCCCTGGAAGAGAGTGTGACGCTGCTTAGTGGGAACTAATGGGTGGCCAGATGGACTCCCTGAGGGTGACCCATCTCCAGAGCTGCCTGGTGTCGCCTGACTAGGTGCAGGCAAGCCTGCTTGCCCCCAGAGAGGCCCCCCCTGGGGAAGAGGGAGGGTGCCCTTGGTGGATCTGGTGCCAGACCTGGGCTCGGGTCCCACAAACTTGACACCCAAGCAGGACCGGAGGCTGGCTGCATGCCACTGACCACTGCTTCATGCTTCCCAGTGAGCAAGCTGCTTTTCTTCTGTGTATCGTTTTGTTGCCATGGTGGTGTTCGTTCTCCTCCATCACCTTGGACTGCAGTTAACCGTGGACTCTTCCTTTGATCCCTTCCTGTTATCCCACATATGCAATGACTTTAATTTCACTTTTGTAGTTTATTTTAACTGTTTGTATTACAACATGAAGTTTAGTGGCATATACGACACAGGCTTGGGAGGACAGGTCCTATGTCCTTTCTTCACCGTAACAAGTTTTACTCACAAATAAAATTCTTTAAGCAGTTACCTTGTCTAAATCTGGGAAGGAGTTTTACATTTTAATTATTTTTCTTTGTTCCTTTAAAATAGGACTTCCAGAAGTTTGTCTCACATTCTGAAAAAAAGATCGCGAAGTGTTTATTTCTTGACTAGACATCATTTGTTGTTTTGGACTGGGGAGGAGGACCTTCTAACCCAGAACTGCTTGCCTCAGTGCCACCTTATTTCTCTGCTGGGACTGAAGGTGGTGGGCAGGGAGCTGCCGGGCAGGGCCCACAGAGCACCAGAAAGCCGTCCTGACACTCCTGTGTCCCCACAGTTTGAGCAGACCCCAGAGTCTCAGCCTCACTGCAGCTGAGCAGACAGGAGAGGCAGGACTGGTGATGGGGACAGTCCAGCAGAGGAGTCCCTCCTCCCCAGTCTGCCAGGGTGCAGGGCACACCTCGGTCTTGGAGAGCCCTCCATCTGCCTTTCCACCCTCACCATTGTGCAGAAGGGAAACTGAGGCTTGGGAAGAGCCTGTACTCTTCTGGTCAGTGGAGCTGTAGAAGCTGTTAGCTCAAGCTGCTGCGTCTGGTGCCTGGGGGTCCTCCAGGGTGGTGGGTGTTGAGGCAGAGCTGTGTACTAGAGAAAGGCACTTGGTATAAAATAGCTGCTGTATTTTGTCATTCAGAGGCCTGGCTGATGCCATGTGTTGCAGAGTAAAAACCAAGCAGACAGAAAGCCTGGAAGGTTTTGGAGTCACTGACTGTACTCCACAGGGCTGCCCAGGTCCACACCAGGGAGGGGAAAGGAGTGCCTTGGGCCCCCTGGGGCTGGGCCCCAGGGTAAAAGCAGGGGTCAGGCGGGCAGTGGGGAGTGGTCCTGGCCCAGGCCTCCCACTTCCTGCCTCAGCTCCCCCAGCTTGGGGTGGGGCCAGTTCAGCTACTCGGCCTTGAGTGTCTGTGCTGGAGGCCTCAGGTTCCGCAGGAGGAGGAAGGGGAGCAGGAAGAGCCCTGAGCACACGGTGAAGCAGACCGGGGCCCCGGCCAGCCAGTACACTGTGGAGAGAGAGCCTGAGTGGTGACATGCGCCCACTGCCCTTGCCTACTCTTTGGCCCCAGGATGGCAGGACTGAGCTGTGGGGTTAAGTGGCTGGAACCAAGGAGGCAAGAGCAGACACAAGAAGCTGAGGGAGGCCAGGAGGGGCTGTGTGGCCTCCACCATGGGCCAGCAGCCCCCCGGGCCTGGCCTGGCCACCCCAGGGTACACAGCATGCCCTGAGTGCTATCCCACAGCCCTCACCTGAGGTGGCCACCATGGGCCCCACTGCCCTGGCCAGGGCCCCCAGGCTCCGCAGTGTGCCCATGACTGTGCCCTTCTGCCCGGGCGAGCCTGTGGGGGAGAAGGGGCGAGGCCATCAGGTGCCCGCGGGCCTCCACCCACCCCAGGCGGCCCCAGTCAAGGGAAGGGCCTCTCACCATAGCCAGCGACCACGGAGGACAGGCAGGGCACCACGACAGCAGCAGCTGGTGGGAGACATCAGGGAGGCACCCGTCAGCCCAGAGCAGAGGCCAGGGTGCGTGGCTCAGAAGGATTTCTAGCCCCCAGCCGCCGACCATGCCCCCTCCGGCCTGGCAGGGCCCACTCACCGAAGGAGTAGAGCAGCAGCCCCAGGCCCAGCACAGGCAGCGTGCGCCCCCAGCCGATGAGGAGGAAGGCAGGCATGAGCAGCAGAATGGCCTGCGGGTAGCATGGTAGCACGGTGGGGGGTAGCACTCCCCACCCCTGCAGAGCTCAGGATACCGCCTGCCCATACACCCCCGGGCGAGCCCCATACCTGCTTCACAGCTGCAATTTCCTTGCCAGGGCCGATTCTCCGGGCGTAGGCACCCTGGATGGTGGCCATGGTGAGGCCGATGAAGAAAAACATCTTCCCCTGCTGCAGGCTGGGGAAGGCGGGGGCGGGGGAGCTGTTAGCGGTCCCAGCCCTGCAGGCCAGCTGACCACCCTTCCTCCAAGACCCCTAGCCAGGCAGTCTGGGGTGACAGCCTGTTTGTCACCCATTCTCGTGGTGAGCCACCGGTTCCTTGGGAAGCCCCAGGTTCCTTGGCTGGGCCTTGGGAGATGGGCCAGCACGGAGTCAGCCCAGAAGCAGGGGGTCAGGATGGGGAGATGGCAGGGCATCCCCAGGTGGGGTCCTTCCAGAAACCCCGCACTCGCACCTGCTGAACTGGAAGCGCTGGTGCACAAGGAAGCTCAACGTGTACTCCAGGCCAGAGAACAGGAAGAGGTAGAGGAAGTAGACCAGGCCCAAGCGGCGCAGACTGCCAAGCCCTGGGGAGCAGCAGGGAGGGGGCTTTGAACGGCCCACAGCCCTGACAGCAGCTGGGGGAGCCCCAGGCAGCCAGAGGGAGCGACAGCCCCACCCTCGTGAGGAGGGCGGCTCCTTACTGTCTGCAGCGGGCGGGTCCTGGCCACGGGCCACAGCAGAGAAGTGGAGCAGGCCCAGGGGGCTGAGCAGGTCAGCAGCAGCTTGGAATCCCAGGGCAATGGAGGACGCCTGGGGTGGGGGCAGAGCTGGAAAAGCCTGCCAGGAGGCTGGGGGCACCCCAGGCCTGGGAGCCTGGGGACAGGCATGACCTGAACCTGCTCAGCCCCTGAACCCTGCAGGGCCCCAGCTGACCTGGCCTCTAGTCCGCCTGCCAGGCCTTAGAAGCAGGGGACCTGGGGACCGCAGGGGCCCCAAGAAGCACTTGCTCACAAGAGCCTCTAGACACCAGGAGAGGACAGCCTGGCCCCCCCCGGTATCTGGGACTGGCACAGATGATGGGCATCCCTACAGGCCCATGGAACAGAGCCCCCAGTCCCTGGAGCTGTCAGTACTTTCTTTCTGGGTCCCACCATACCCGCTTCTCCGGGGGCAGCGTCTCCGGCAGGAAGCAGAAGATGAACAGCAGGTCAGAGACTGCGAAGAGCAGGGCGAGCCAGGGTGCCATCTCCACGGGCAGGGCGGCGCCAAGCATGGGGCCCAGTGTGAAGCCCAGCGAGAAGGCCACCCCGATGACTGCCTGGGGAGAAGGCCACCTGAGCCGTGCAGGGAGACCTAGGCCCAGGAGCCCCCGACCCCTCATCCCCCACCATGTGCACTCACCATGCCTCGGCTGCGGGCGGCAGGTGAACCCAGGTCGGCAACGATGGCAGTGGAGAGGCTGACATTCCCCTTGCTGATGCCCCCAATCACTCTGGAGGCCAGGAAGGCTGCGAAGCTATTTGAGGCAGCCCACACAGCATACGAGGCAGCCAGACCTGCCTGCCTCAGGGCAGGGGCCAAGGGGCGGGCGTGGTCACTTGAGGCCAGAAGGGGCCCAGGACCACCCTTGGGACCCTGCCCCGTTCTGGAACATCCAAGGACCACTTGTGTTCCCAGTGTCCCCATAGGTGGCAGGAGCAGCTCTGGGACAGCCTGGCTTAGCAACAGGAGTCACCGCCCCCTCACACACCACCCCTAGGGGGCAGTGACGGCCCATGAGGTGCCATGGAGGGCCCACAGCCGTCCCCTGTCTCCCCAGAGGGCTGCCAGGTGGGTGGGAGCAGGCTGTATGTTCCCACCCCATGGGCACCCATACCAGGGACAGCAGCATCACTGGGCGCCTCCCCAGGCAGTCAGAGACTGCTCCCGTAAGCGGTGCCGAGATGAACTGCAGGAAGGAGAAGGCCGAGCCAATCAGACCTGAAAGAGACAGAGGTCATGGTCACCACACCCCAGTCCCTGTCCCCACGGGTTTGATCACGCCGGGCCCTGCACTCCCAGGCCATGGACCTGACGGAGAGTGGACACTCCACTGGGAGAGGGGGCAGACAGTGCCCAGGAGCGAGAAGGCATGGACAGGACCTGGGTTTGGCAGGAACCCAGGGAGTGAGGAAGGAAGGGGCCAGGAAGATAGGATGTTAGTATGCCCCCAGCGTGGGGCTCAAGGCCATACCTCCGACCAGGACGCTGTTGTACCTCTTCTCTGCTGGCATCCCAATGGCTGCGGCAAACCAGTCCACCCCTTGCTGCCACGAGCCATAGAGGGGGTCCTGGGGAACAAGGAAGCATAACAAAGGCTGAGGGAGTCCCTGATGGAATTGGGGCAGTGGACAACCATCGTGGGGGTCAGGGGTCATCAGGACATGGGCAAGGGCTCACGTGGGCACGGCTGTGGCTCTCCAGCAGCCCGGGCAGCAGGGGCAGCAGCAGGGTGAAGGCCAGGAGGTCAAGCAGGAGGCCAAGGAAGACCACAGTGATCACGCGGGGCTCTGGCGCCGGCTGCTGGTGGATGGGTGGGCGCGGGGTGCAGCTCCCGCCGGCTCCCCAGCCCATGGTGGGGCGGCTCTGATCTGGCTTGGCCGAGAGGTGGCAGGTCTGCACGAGGGCACCTCTGGGTACCCCAGCCCCAGACGCCTACCCAACCACAGAGGAAACCGAGTCCCCCAGTTCCCGCCATGCCCCAACCCGCTAATAGCCAGCGAGCACCCTAAAGGGAGTGCCTGCCCCGCCCTGCTGGGGGGCGCCCATTACCCAATCCAGGGGTCCCTTTGTGCGCCCTTCCCTCGACCCCGGGCAGCAGGAAACTCACGCTGCGGGGATTGCGCAAAGAAACCGCAGCCACCCAGGCCAACTGTCCCAAGGGGCCGGTGTGGGGGCATCGCAGCCCACCCCACGCCAGATGCCCACGTCCTCGTGCGGAGCGGACGGGGAAACTGAGGCCCGGGTGGAGGGCGGGACCTGGGCGGCCCCGGGCGGGTGCAGGAGGCTTCCCTGCGCCCCGGAGAACACGACCCCCGCCCGCGCCGGGCTCGCCTCCGGGCCAGGAACGTGGGGCGCGCGCTGGATGCAGGAGCCCCCCCGCCTCGCCCCGCCCCGCCCCGCACCTGCCGCTGCCGCGTGCTCGGGACGAACAGACGAACGGACGGACGGACGGACCGACGGACGCGGAAAGTACCGCTGGGCCGGCTGCCGGGGCGGGGCGGGGCGGGTGTGTCTGTCACGCCCGGCCCCGCCCTCGCCCCGCCCCGCCCAGGAAGTGACCGGTGCTTCCTCTTCCGGCCGGCGTAATTCCGAGGGCCGACAGTCGGGTGAGGACCTTGTCGCTACTTTATGCCCCGCGCTCTGCGCGCTCTTTTCCCGCGCCCCCGGCCCTTGCGGGGCGGGGTGACGCTCTGCGGGGCGGTGGCGCCGCTGCCGAGTCTGGGCGGATCCAGCTGCGCTGCGAGCCCCGACCCCCAGGCCGCGAGGCTCCAGGTCTGGCCCGGGACGGGGTCCAGCAGCAGCCTCCTGGCGGGTCTTGGGGCGTCTTCCTGCAGGCCCGACGCATGGTCGCGCCCCAGGTCCCCTTGCCCAGGCCCACAGTCGGGCGCTGGGGCGTCTCCTGCCATCCATCCTGCAGTTGCTGAGCCCTGGTCCTGGCGGGGGCGGCTTCAGAGCCGAACGTACCTGACAGGCCACAGTCCCATTTGCCCCCTCAACCTCTACCCAACGGGGATGGCTCTAAGGACCCTGGAGCTTTGGGTCCTCCACCCTGGAGGGCAGTTTCGTGGGGTCCAGCCCTCACTGGACCTTCCTCACACCCTCCAGTCCTGCCAGCTTGGGTGCCTCGGAGACAGGCCGTCACCCACAAATATACCAGCAGCCCCAGGCCTGGGCCTGGCAGCACTACTGCTGTGATGGGCCCCATGGGTTTGACCGCACATACTGTCTCAGTTGGACTGTTTGGAATGCGTGTGGTGCTGAGTCTGAAATCTCAGGGCAGGTGAGCGAGGAGGAAAGGGATGTGAAGTCAGGAGAGCAGAGACCACTGAAAGCCGCTCTGCCTCCTGTGACTGGCCTGGTGGCCCGGGACCGCCTGAAGGAGAAGCTGGCGCTTCCAGTGCGGCGCACGCCCACTCACAGCGAGCCCAGGGCTGGAGGAGGAGCCCCCAGAGCAGCTGGAGGAGCTCGGGACGTCAACACCTCCCGCTTCCCTTCCATCTTCTACAATTCAAGCGATTCCCAAATAAAGATAAAAGCAGTCACACTTATGTCTAACATAAGCAAATATTCCACCTACAACCAAAAAGAAAACGCACAGTGCTTTCCCCAAAGAGGACACGCTGTCCCTTTATCCACCTTTGAGTGATGTTCCTTTTCTTCCTGCTGAGCCACTTCCCCCTTTAGTGGTCTGTAACTTACATACTTGAGATATAAGTTAACTGCGTTACCACTTCTTACCTTAGATGGTAGTGAAGAGGGGAAGAAAAGGAGTTGGATGATATATATGCAAATGTATTCATATCGAAATGCAATGGTCCTTGTTTGTGCACCTGGCCAGGTGGTCAGAGCTGGGTTTCATAGCCATCTTCTTCCATGACCCATTCTCTATTCTCCCCTTTACAAGGAGCAGGAGGCAGGGCTGCAATGGGCCATCTACATCAATACTGACATTTCTAAGATTTATGTCTGGAGTAGGGCTGGGGAGAGGCCCACGGTGGGCAGAGGTATGCTTGGATGACACACGATCCATAAAGCTGGGGCTTTATGAGCTTGTTGCTGGCACACTTCATCCTCACAGAACTGACAAACAAGGCCTCTGCAGAGCCTGGCACCTGACTTGGTCCCACTTTTCTGGAACAGTGGGGTGAGTGTCCAGAGCCAGGGGCTTGGTGAATTAATGTAGCAACAGCTGCATGACCGAGTTTACATGTGGACGAAACCTTGAAGCTGTATGACGTTAACAGCAGGCCAGGCCTACACAGCGACAAGGTGAAGCCAAACTGGCTTGTGGATGTGACAACCACCAAGGCCTTCTAGATTTACGGGGCCATGCACCTGGCAAAATTCTGTCTATGAACAGTCTTAGGGGAGGCTGGTGAAGATGCGAATGTCTGGTTCATCGTGGCTGCTTCATTCCTCCCATTTGGAAAACCCAAGGCTGCTCTTGGCAATCTTGGCTTGGGCTCAACGTGCCACCAGGGGGTGCTCTGGCCCTGTCAGCAATCTGAGCCCCAACATGTCCAAAGTCAAACTCTTTACTTCTCCCCACCAACCTGTTTGAGGAGCCAGAAATGGGGTACTGGTCACCTTCTTCCTTACCTCGCCCACAACCAGTCTGGCTAATCCTCAATCTCGCCATGGTCACTGCTGTGGCTGTGTGACCTCAGGGATGGGCTTCTCAATGCATGCTCTAGGGCCGTCTTGCAGGGCTGGTCAGTGTGACCACATGCTGTGACACTGGCCTCCACCCTAGGCTGCTGGCTCTGGAAGGCAAGGCCTCAGTGCTGAGCCCTGCAGTCACCTCGGGAGTGAAAACCCCACTGCCTCACCCTACAAGACTGGGGTGGGGCATGGGGACAGGGACCTTCCCATCTCAGCAACCCCTCAGGGAGGCAGCAGCAGCGTTCAGTGGATGGCTCTGTACAAGGCCATAGTCCTGGGCCAGTCTATGCAGTTCAAGGTGGGCCACAAGGGCAGGCAGAAGGGCTCCTTCACTGCCTGCAGCCCACAGCCCCTTTGGGGTCCAGCAAACCGCACACTGACCTTCCTCATTCATCCTTAAGGATGGTTAGTGCGGAGAGGATGAAAAACCAGCACTTTGTTGTTTAATTTACAAGCTTGCAACCTTAACCATAACCTCTGCATCTTCCAACTTATTCTGACCCAAAACTTAGAAGACTGCCCCCTGGGTCGGTGCAGATGGGGCCCAATCTCCTCCCAGCTTCCACAGCGGCCTAGCGTTGAGGAGACTCAAGGCCGGCACCTCAAAGCATCAAGTAAAGACTGAATTAGGACAACGCCCGGCGTGGCTGTTAGGATGCCAGGATTACGCGCGAGTTCTTTCTTCTCCAATTTCTGAACTGTTTGCAAACTTGTTTCATTTGTTATTGAAACTATAATTTATGTAACGTGATTTAACAATCTTGAATTTTATACACGAAGGGAAAAATCTTTGGTTGACCAAAAACAGCACTGGCCAGAATCCCTTAAGTCCCAAACCTTGCAATTAACTGAGGTTTGTCTGGACTCGATGAACCATTTAAAGTTTATTAGCAGATGGCTCTCACAGAGGATTGCTCTGAACAACAAAAGCGCATTTCATCAGGAGAGATGTTTTCATAGGAAATGAAGTAGAGGAAAAAAAAAATCACACTGCCATTATAGCACCCTTTATTACTTTCAATATACAACATCTCCTTGCTTAACGTATAAAACATTATTTATTTTTTGAACTTTTTCCTCTTCAGAGCCTTCCATTCACCCTCCTGGGTAGCCAGACTGTTAAAAAGCTGCTTCACTTTTCGCTTTCTTTCCGCATCCCTTCAAAAAAACCAACAACCCATTTTTGGATTAGTCTTTGGAAGCTGTCTTGCCTGTTTCAGACTGACCCAACAGCAGTTCAGAACCACTTGGGGCCTCCAACTGCCACATCCAGTGCAGATGGAGGAAAAGAGGGGGGACGAACCTGCCCAGCCCAGGGCCCCAGCCGAGCCCGCCAGTGCCAGGAATGCGGGTACAGGAGGGACCAGTGCCCTTACCCTAGCACCTGCCCACGTGGGGCCCAGGGCCACCGGCTGGGGAAGGCAGCGTGAAGGCTGCAGTCTCCCGGGCACCCCACAGGCTCCCTCACCGTTCCATGATCTCCGAGAGCTGCATCCGAGCCAGGAACTGGTTGTCCTTGCGGATTTCCCGGACGGCTCCTTTAAATTCACGCTTGTGTTTGTGGATCAGTCTTTTCCTTTCCTGTTCCTCCTTACTGCTTCCCTGTTTTCTTCCAAACTCGAGGCTAAAAAAGGAAAGCCAGCGTTGAGGAGGCAAGAGTCTAGTGTGCCCCATCTCTCAACCAGAGCCGTCTGCTCCAGGTGTGGCTTCTCCTCGAGGCCTCGTCTCAAGACTGGCCTCCCCCTCATCACCCCGGGCTGAGCCCACAGCCCTGACCTCCCTGGGCCCCTCCCAGAGCTGGGGGAGTGGCGGGGGGCTGCTGGACTCACACTTTGACCAGCCGGGGGGTAAACAGTTTCAGTGGCACTGGCTTGCTCTTTTCACAGATCAGTGGCCGACAGTGCTTCTTCTGGTTTTCCATTTCTGTCAGTATGCTTTGACACAGCTCCTGAAACACGAGAACACAGCTGACACCTTGACGGGCCGCCCACCATGTGGCCTCACAAGCTCCTCCTCACAGGCTCTGTGGCCTCCGAGAGGAGGGGGACAGAGAGTGCCGCGGCCTCACTGCAGCGAGATCTTGCCTCCTTCAGACCCTCCTGCTGTCACTGCTTTCTCTGGGCCCAGCATCTCATCTGCTAAATACAGGGGTGTGGGTGCAAAGAAGCTGTGCTCAAAGACGTGGCCCAGCTGTAAGGGAAGCTTCCATCTTCTTGCTGACGCACGAGACAGCTCGCATCCTTCCTCACGCTGCTGGCTTGGCAGGACTAGAGACTCACCGACACTGATCTGAGAAGGAAGGACAGTCTGTTCTTCTAGCATCTGGCAAACATAATGGCATCTGCTTTCCAGAGAAACTTGTGCTTGGGCACTAGAGATCCACCTCCTGTGGACATGTGTGGGAGAGCCATCCCTTGTGCCCTGGGGAGTCGGGGGAAGGGGTAGCCAGTGGGGGCCACAGGATGAGGCACCGAGCAGGACCAAGTTTCTGCCAGTCTTTGTGATTTGACCTTACTTTCATTCTAAGAGAACCAGACGGTTAAGGCACTTTCATCACGGCCCTGGCTTCCAAAAGAGTTGGCTGGGGCTTCTGAGGAACTTTCTAGAAGCCAGCCCACTGATGTTGGTTCCATTCCTCTCCTCTCACATAGGTGTGCCCTGGAACTCAGGCTTCCTGCACCACGGGCACAGCCACCCCTTGGCCCCTGTCCAGACGTTTAACTCCAAGGGCCAAATGCCCAGAGTCCACGGGGACTGCACACAAGGCATGACCAGCTCAGTTCACCTTGGGTCTGTGAATCCCATCGTGGCCCCTTGGCCAGCCCAAATCCCACAAGACAGCCAGCCACTCTGTCCTTTAAAAGACAAGCCACAGCCACCTCTACAGTAAGTGGATGTAGGGTAGAGGCAGGTGTGGACACCTCAGCCTCATCAACCTTCCACAAGATGACAGGCCTCAGTGTGGACAGCTGTGGTCTGCCCTGGCTCTGGGGACACTTCCAGGGAGGACAGAGTTGCTGTCCTCACAGGGCCCATGATCTACTGGGGCAGAGACCAGACAATGGTCATGCCACAGAGAAGAGGCATGGGAAGTGCCAAGCAGTGGGTGCCACTTCCTCCCAGGTGACCTTGCTTCCTGAATGAAGCAAGGGGACGAGCCATATGGCTCCAAGACTATTCCAGGCAGAGAAAAGGGCAAGTGCAACAACCCCAAATGAGGAGGTCAGAGCATGTGAAGGGGGAGGGCCAGGTCTCCCTGGCCTTGTGCACCCCAGTCCTGACTTTGCCTTCTGTTCTGATGGGACCAGACACTACTGGAGGGACAACTTTCCCTCCAACGGGATCCCGGGGCTGGTGTGGAATGACTTCAGGGTCAGGAGACCAGAGACCACGTGAGAGAAGACAGGGGCGGGCCCTGGGCGGGAAGTAGGAGTCGGAAGGAAATGCAGGCAGGACTCGAAGGTCTGCTGAGGGACTGGACAGCCTCAAAGACGCTCATTTAGACGCACATGCGGGAGTTCCCAGGTCAAACTGAGGGCGTCCTTCATGGCTTCTTGTCGCCTTGTACAGGACAGTGGGACCATCCTCAGAAAACCTATGTGGCCTGGGAGGAAGGTGGAGCCCAGAACCACTCTCCTGGTCCTGGTGGGCAGTGGGGAGGCTGGCGGGGGCAGGTGACAATGTAACACAGTTCTCAGATAAAATTCTGCACCCAGACTCAGTCCAGCAGTATAGTTACTTCTCGTTAGTTTTCTCACTATAATTTTGTTTCCCATTTGTCTTTATAATTTTCAAAGATGGTGTCCATGATTTCTAGGGCTGCAACCCCAATGACAGAAATGCCTGCTAACTTGCCCCCTGCTCAGAGAAACGGCCGAGCCGGGGCAGAGGACCCTGGTGGCCAGGAAGCCTCACCTGGAGCTCTCGGGGGTGACTGCGGTCAGCCAGGTGCTCCATCAGGAGGGCTCTGAGGGGGCTCATGATGTCGTGGAAGGAGGGCAGGCCGCCATACATGAGCACACAGCGCTTCACCAGAGCCAGACACACGGCCACGCAGCACAGTCTGCAAGGGGGCGACACCCAGCTTCAGGGCAGAGGCAGGGAAGGGGAGCAGCTCGTTCTATTTCAGTTACCAACAAAGTCAATAATCTTGACAAAAATTAAAATCCCCACACACAACTCTGAAAAACCCACCATGGCCCTCAGTAGATTGAGGTTAAATATCTGCCCCTGGGCAGAGTTGGCAGCAGCTGTCTGCTCACGGTATTAGGTGTTAAAGGAAACATCACCATGTTTCCCTGAACAGGACGGAATGTGTGGGAAATGCAATAACAACTCGAGGCTCCATTTTAGTTTTTAAACTACTATTTGCAAAATCAAGCAGATATACATTGAAAATAATACACACATTCTGGGAAAGTTGTATTTTTTTCATGGAAAAAAATGGCCATCAGGACTTGAATAAACACTTCTCCAAACAAGATATACAAATGGCCAATAAGCACATGAAAGGATGCTCAATATCATCAGTCATTAGGGAAATGCAAATCAAAACTACAATGAGACCACCTCACATCCATGAGCATGGCTGCTATCCAAAAAACAGGAAATAACAAGTGCTGGTGAGGCTGTGAAGAAAGTGGAACCCTGTGCACTGCTGCTGGGAATGTAAAATGGTGCAGCCTCTGTGGAAAAAAGTATGGAGGTTCCTCAAAAAATTAAAAATAGAATTACCATATGATCCAGCAATTCCACTTCTGGGTAAATATCCAAAAGCAGTGAAAGCAGGGTCTCGAAGAGACATTTGTACACCCATGTTCATAGCAGCAGTGTTATTCATAATAGCTGAAATGTGGAAGCAACCCAAGTGTTCATTGATGGACGAATGGATTACCAAAATGTGACATATACATACAATGGAAGAAAAAGGAAGGAAATTCTGACACAGCCATAACATGGATGAACCTTGAGGACATTATGCTCAGTAGATAAGCCAGTCACAAAAAGACAAATACTGCATGATTCCACTTATATGAGGTCCCTAGAGTAGTCAAATCCATAGAGACAGACAGTGGAATGGTGGGTGCCCGTGGCTGGGGGAGGGGAAGATGGGGAACTGTTGTTTAATGGGGACAGAGTCTCAATTTTACAAGATGCAAAGAGTTATGGGGATGGATGGTGGTGATGGCTACACAACGTGAATGTAACAATACCAATGAGCTATACATGTAAGAATGGTTAAGATGGTAAACTTCCTATGTATTTTAACACACTAAAAAAAATTCAAGGGTCAGCCTGGTGGTGTAGTGGTTAAGTTCGTGTGCTCCGCTTTGGCGGCCCAGGGTGTGCAGGTTCGGATCCCAGGCGCGGACCCACGTATTGCTTATCAAGCCATGCTGTGGCAGGCGTCCCACATACAAAGTAGAGGAAGATGGGCACGGGTGTTAGCCCAGGGCCAATCGTCCTCAGCAAAACGAGGAAGACTGGCAACAGATGTTAGCTCAGGGCTAATCTTCCTCACCCCCCCAAAAAAAGAAAAATTCAAATAACCCACAATTTAAAAAATCAGACAGACAGCTCTGATGGCCTAGTGGTTAAAGTTCCGTGTGCTCTGCTTTGGTGGCCTGGGTTTGGTACCACACACTGCTGTCAGTAGCCACGCTGTGGTGGTGGCTCACAAAGAAGAACTACAAGGACCTACAACTAGAATATACAACTACGTACTGGGGCTTTGGGGAGGGAAAAAAAAATATCAGAGAATAGGAGGGTTTACAATAAAAGCCCCAGCCCTCCCCATTCTCCTCCTCCTCCTATGGACTAAATGCTTGGTGACCCTACAAAATTCATATGCTGAAACCTAATCCCTGGAGGCAATTAAGTCTTCCAATCCACGAACAGAGGACGTGTTTCCATTTATTTATGTCTTCTTTCATTTCTTTCAGCAATGTTTCGTGGTTTTCAGTGTATAAGTCTTTCACCTCCCTGGTTAATTCCTAAGTATTTTATTCTTTTTCACAGCATTGTAATTGTAATTGTTTTTGTTTTCTTTAAAGATTTTATTTATTTATTTATTTTCCCCCAAAGCCCCAGTAGATAGTTGTAGGTCACAGCTGCACATCCTTCTAGTTGCTGTATGTGGGACGCAGCCTCAGCATGGCCAGAGAAGCAGTGTGTTGGTGCACGCCCAGGATCCAAACCCGGGCCGCCAGCAGCGGAGCGCGAGCACTTAATGCTAAGCCACGGGGCCGGCCCTGGAATTGTTTTTGTAATTTCCTTTTTGGACTGTTTCATTGTGTATAGAAATGCAACTGATTTCTGTGTGTTGACTTTGTATCCTGCTACTGTGCTGAATTCATTTATTATATCTGATAGCTTTTTTGTGGCATCTTTAGGGTTTTCTACGTATAAGATCATATCACCTGCAAACAGAGAGAACACTGGTGCATCCTCAAGGTGCCGGGTCCTGGGTCCTGGGTGGTGTCTGGCTCCAGGCCTGGCACCCAGGGGCCTGGGGGCACCACAGCACGAGCTCAGGCACCAACTCCCAGGAGCCCCAGCCCTGCACATACCTGGTGTGGTTGGCCTCTGCCTTGGTCTGGGCTCTCAGTCCACTCGCCCAATGAAGGGACAGGCTTTTCCTCTGCCACGTGGCTGTGTCCTCTTCATCAGAAACCAAGAGCAACTCCGAGTTCTTCCCAAAGGCTCTGAAAGGGTGCACCAGAGTGTAACCTAATTCCAAGTGGGACAGGGACAGAGATGGCCTCTGAGATTACTGGGCTCCCAGGGCAGGCCCTACAGGGCAAAGCCTTTAGAAAGTTCACTTTTAACAAACATGCACTGGTTTTTACCACCAGACACAGGGTGATAGCTTTGGCAGGGGTGCTTGGCCATGTCCAAATATAGACCAGGTCCCTGACCTCGTGGGGAGACAGGCAGTAAACCACACCCGAAGGCATAATAAACTAGATGGAGTATCAGAAAGAAACGCTGGACGGACAAAAGAAAAGCAGAGGAGGGTGAAGGGTCAGTCAGGAGTGCTGGGTAGGCGAGGCAGGTCCTGGAATTAACCAGGTCAAAGAAGGCCTGTCTCAGAGGTGAATGCCAGTGAAGACCCGGGGGATGTGCAGGGGTTAACCCAGTTGTCACCCAGAAGAGAGATGGAGGCAGAGGGACAGCCTGCTGGGCGAGGGCACAGAGAGCCTGGTGTGGTCCAGGCACAGGCAAGCAGGCAGTGGCCGGGCAAAGGGAGAGGGGCAAGCGAGCCTACAGCCAGCCCACCTCTCCCCTGACCCGTATCCAGTGCACACTGCAGCCCTTCGCCCTGAACCACAATCATCTTCTGATGGGGTCCCCTGGGCCGGACTGTGCCTCTCCAGTGTCCACCACCATGCCCGGCACACAGGGGCATGCAGCACGGGCGTCAGTGCAACCAGGGAGCAGGAGCTACAGGCAGGAAAGTTTCATTATGAGGGGAAGCAAAAGGACAGGCGACACCTTTAGCAAACTCAACTGGAGGGACTGCCACACAGCCCAAGGCAGACTCCACAAGGTCTGAAACAACAATGTCCCACCGGGCACCTCTGAGGGGCCCAACACCACAGGTGTGCTGGCAAAAGGAGATCCTATCCTTGAGATACGACCTACGATCAGGCTGGCAAAGTGATCCCACACAAGAGCGAGCCCGGGGCAAAGGCCAAGCGGTACAATCTCCAGAGGGCAGGAGCAGGTGCGAGGAAGCACCTGGAAGGATAGTGGCCAGCACCACGGAGAGTTGCTCGGAGGAACGGAGGGGAGCTGAGGTGAGGACAACTCAGAAGATCAACAAATGCTAAAACTCTTCCTCACTGGACTACTGCTTTTGACTATCTTTCCTTCCAAAACTCGGAACGCTGTAGAAACTATACAGAGCAGTGCTGCCCACTAGAAATACAACGTGAGCCGTGAGTGAGTTCAAACGTCCTTGTTGCCACATAAAAAAAGTAAAAACAAAAAGATTAATCTTAACGATGTATTTTATTTAACCCCAAATATAAAAATATTATTTTGACACATGATCAATATAGAAAACTGAGATATTTCATATATTTTTGGTAGTAAGTCTTGGCTGTCTGGGGTACACTTTACACTTGGGGTGCATCTCACTCAGTTCAGATTGGCCACGTGTGGATACTGGCTACCGTGTTGGACAGATAAAGTACCGTGTTGGACAGATTTTTTTCAAAATGTGGGTGTGTCCACACATCCATAGATAGAAAAAAAGGATGCTACTCTGGGTGTAGGACTTCAGATGTTTTTGTCTTCTTTCTACTTTTCCATATTCCAAACTTTCTACGATGAGTATGAATTACTTTTAAAAATCTTGAAAAAATATTCCAAAGTACAATATATTTGAAAAAGCTCCGTCACATCAACTCACCTTGGCTTTGCCTGTTTGGAGTTGCTATGTAAAGAATCCCAAGAAGAAAATTAATAAGCTCAGGTATGAACCTCTGAGATAGAGACACGTAGTCCAGGAACACACAGCACACGAACAGACCCTTCACCACGTCTTGGAGACACAGGACCGGGCACTGGCAAAGGAACACGGGGCACCGTTACTGGTCAGCAACAACGTTCTGGAACACTGCCCTGGGCAGACAACCTGGCTTCCCAGGTGAGCCGTGTGCCCCAAACTTCACCTGCATGGAGGGACCCACTGCCCCTCACAGCAGAGCAGAGTCAAGTGAGATTCAATCTGGTCAAGAGCTTTGTTGCTCACCAGGCTCCACCTTTTGGAGGAGAATAACAACAACTGTAGTAGGTGCCCCATCATAGGCCTGATCAAGAAGAGAGGAGCCATTTAGAGTTTTTAAGCCAAAAGAGGATCAGAACCCCATATCAGACCTGATGCCTTCACCAACTTGAAAGGCTATTTTCTGGGATCACACGCTCTGTAACCTTGTCTGGGGCTGCTGACGCCGGGAGCTCTGGGAGGGGAGCTGGGGCCCTTTCTGATCTCAGAGCTCCCAACTCGTCTTCACAGGTCCCTTTGGATGAGCTTTTCTCATGCCTGACTGCCAACAGTCAGTCTCCGTGACCATTACTCAGCCACGCGCCTGCTCAACAAAGCCCCGAGGAGATGCTGGCTCTGCGGGAGCGGGCCTGACCCACTGGGGAAGCGAGGACATACCTTAGTGAGCAGCTGGCTCATGCACACCAGTGCTGGGGTCACAACGGGGTGCCAGAAGTCAGAAGTTGGAAACAACATCCCAGCAATTTTCAAATAAATGAGCTGGAAAGAAAGTGTTACCACAGAGATTAAAGACAGTAAATTGAAGTTTAAAATACTGCTTTACAAAGGGCCCAAGAGCAAAACAGGTTTTGAACCTGCTGGTGACAGGCAGGGAAGGATCTGCAGATGTCGTGTTGTCTCATGGCCAGGGCAGCCCTCCCCTCACCGCCTCCCTGTACACACTCGAGCATGCCCATTCCCTCACACACACCACGAAAGGCGGGGCTATTCTGGAACGTGCGACGGTTCTCTGGTGGATTGGGAAGTGGAAACAGGATGACCCTGCACCACCCTGTGAGCCTGGCAGGGTTTGCGACCCGTCCCCAGCCGGCCATCCTGGGGCTTCAAGCTCACAAGGCCAGGGCAGAGGTCCTCTGCAAACTGGCCACTCACTGCCCCTCCTGCCTCAGCTCAGGAGAAAGCAGCCCAGGGTTCTCGGGTCCGAACGCATTAGTCCCGCTCTGAGCCACAAGCTCAGAGGGGAGAAAACCTCTCCCTTCTATTTCAACTTCACAAAGCATGCTGGGAAGAATGGCAAACATTTTGAGTTTCCCCGTCTGCCACGCCCCAGTCTCTGCACCTCGTCCCGACATTACGGAGAGGAGGCAGGGCTGCTCTTGGAGTGGCCACAACAGCTGTCACCAGAAGAATCCCACTTTCGTATTGGCAGGAGGTAGCTTCTAGCATCTTAGGTTAGAAAATTTATCTTCCTGTATAATAAACCATATGCTTTTTTCTGCACTAGAAGCTGGAACCAGGGCTCCATCACCTGAGTTGGGTACAGAGGCAGCAACTTTCTGGACCAAAGGAAATGTCAGAAACTCACGTGCAGTACAGCAGAGTGGCCCAGAGCCCACTCGGAAATCAAATGCTACCACTGCTTCCCGCCGGCCCAGTGATCAGGGCAGGTTACTCGAGCCAATGTCCTCACTGCATTATGAGTACACCATACTTAATCCTCGTAGGGTCGTCGTGAGGATCAGATTAAGTCTCCTGTACTGCCTCTGTGAGTATTCAAAACATGTTACTTTCTTTTTTTACCAAGAGCTTTCAGAAAATATTTACCTGGAAACATCTTACAAACTGCCTCAGCAAAACAAAGAGTTGACGTTTTCATAAGAACTAATGATAAGACAGAAGTTTCTGGTGCTGTTAGTCAGCTGTCATTCGAGAGACACCTTAGGAGCAGCCTGTCAGACGAGCCCTTTCCCCAGCTGAAGCTGGTTTCAAAAGCCAGGAGCTCAGGAGTATCTTGGTATAGCTGCGGAGAGGGGCCCCTCTTATCAGAGATGGAGAGAAGTCTCTGGGACAGCCTCTCTCGTGGCAAGAGGGAAAACCCATTCTCCCAAGATGACGTCTAAAAACATAAATGTGGCTGTTCTGTCTTAGGGGACTACGATGGCAAGCTTGTATGGTCGTCCCATAGTGTGCGCGGGGGACTGGTTCCAGGCCCTCTGCAGACACCAAAATCCACGACCCTCAAGTTCCTTATAGAAAATGGCGCAGTATTTGCATATATAATCTCATGTACTTTAAATCATCTCTAGATTACTTACAATAGAAACGCTATGTAAATATTTGTTATACTGTATTGTTTAGGAACAATGACAGGGAAAAAGAAGTCTGTATGTACATGTTCAGTACAGGCACAACCATCATAGGCCTTTCACTCCTCAGTTGGTTGAATCTCTGATGCAGAACCGTGCATACGGAAGGCCACTGTACTTTTAGGGGACTACCATGAGTCAGGCACAGCCCACAGGCCACCCTGACACGAGGCACAAAAAAGGCTGGATGACAGACTAGAGCAGGAAGGTGTCCTCACACCCTGGCTCTGCAGGATTTTCAGAACCCTCTAGCTTGCCCAGAGGCACCAAGAAATCCTTCAAGGCACCCAGAACTAGATCACTTTGATCCATGTGAATTTAGATGTCAGGCACACCCCAGGGGACCCCATTTTCTCCTTTCTGCTCCTTGAAGGGGCTCTGGTATCAACTACAGAACTACCAGGAGGGCCTTCCACAAGAGCCGTCGACCCCACCCAATTTGGGACTCCAAGGAAGACAAGGAAGTCGAGGTGAAAGGAGAGCCCACCAGCTCCCAGGCAGCCCCAGCCTCACTGCATCTTACTTTGCAGCAACAGACCATGAGTGCGAGCTAAGGGATGGTGGTGGTGGTGACAGCCACCGTTTACGGACAGCTACAACCAGGCAGTGACTCGACCAGGTGATGCATATTAACTCATGAACCTTCACGTCAGGCCTGCAGGTCAGGCATTACTAACCATCATCCCCACTTACAGACGAGGAGAAAGGCCAGGACCACGCAGCTCAGACAACGGAACTGAGATTGAGGCCTGGGCAGCCTGCCTGTGCCCCCGGCTGCACGGCTTCCCCACTAATACTCCTCAGCAGAAACAAGCTCCAAGAAGGCAGAGATGGAAGCTCCCTGGCCCATGGCTCTAGGTACCCACCAGTCACTGGTTAAACAGGGAAATGTCTGATCAGGATGTTGGGTTGGGGCACACAAAAGAACTAACATCACCAGCATCAGTTCATGGACACTGGCTCACATCCTATTTTGGGGAACCTATTAAAACCATAAACACAAATCCTGTATTTTTAAGTTTCTGTTAGTCATTGTTAATTCACTAGAAAATGCAACGGCCTGAGCAAGTATTTCTTCAAAGCTACTAGAGATGACAATACAGCACACGACTGTTATAAAACTGTTAACACAACTCAGAGCAATTCACACATCTCTTAGTGAGTGAACAGATATTGAGACCGGGCAAGACCAGCCCCATTTTCCAAAGGCCTGGGTCGTTAGGAAAATACACTCGTTCTGTTTGCCTTAAAACCTCTGTGCCATTAAGACTAAACACAGCCCCATTCATGTGGAAGGAAACCGGAACTTCTTCTGTTATTAAACACATTTTAGTTAACTGTTAATGGGTAAACAATCCTTCCAGGTCTTGTTCCAGTCCAGATCACTCTGGATCACTCTCCAGATCAATCTGGAAGCCATAGGGCACGGCCAGTCTCTCCAACCTCTCCAAGCTGTGTGCATTATACTCAGTAGTCGGCCCTTCTGGTGGCTGTATGACTGGATTAAGCCAAGTCCCTGCTTACCACATCTAACCCCGGAAACGTGGCCCGGCCTTTCGTCTCAATCATTCCCTCCATCTCGTGCATAGCATCTCGGAGGAGAAATCTTACGGAGTCACTTGCAGATTCAGGAAACATCTGGCAAAGATTATATAACTGCCTGGTAATCAGAAACATAAGTGAGGGGAGAAGGACTTCAGATAACAAAAAACACAGAAAAAACCCCCAACACCTCCCACGTTTACCATTTTCCTGTAAAGTCACCTGCTGACTGAGCAAGTCAGAACTGGAGACCCCTGGATGAATCCACTTTTTCTCTGGCCAGCCTTCTTGGTGATCCAGATAATTTTTCTAAAGGTGTTTTATAACTATCTATAGTAGTCTTCCCTTATCTATGGTTTTGCATTCTGCAATTTCAGTTACCTGCTGTCAACCATTGTCCGAAAATATTAAATGGGAAATTCCAGAAATAAACAATTCATAAGTTTTAAACTGTTTGCTGTTCTAAATAATGTGATGAAATCTCACGCCATCCTGCTCCATCCTGCTGAGTCCCCTCCAGGACGTGAATCATCTCTTTGTTGGGTCCCCAACCACTAACACAGTCCACTTCTGACATCCAACCATAGACTACATCATGGCCCGATGATCCTCCTTCTGACATAGTGTCAGAAGGTCAGTAGTAGCCTGACGCTACATCACGATGTCTGTGTCATTCTCCTCACTTCATCTCATCACGTGGGCATTGTATCATCTCATGTCATCACAAGATGACATCACAAGAAGAAAAGTGAGTATAGTACAATAAGACAGTTTGAGAGACAGGGAGACCACATTCATATAACTTTTATCACAGTATATTGTTACAATTGTTCTATTTTATTATCAGTTACTGTCGTTAACCTCTTACTGTGCCTAACTTATAAATTAAACTTTATCATAGTATGTATGTACACAAAAAGATATAGTGTATGCAGGGTTCAGTACTATCTGTGGTTTTAGGCATCGCCGGGGGTCTTGGAATGTATCCCCCGCAGATAAGGGGGCACTACTGTAGACTCATTTTGCCATTTCCTAAAAAGCCGGTCCTAACTCTTCAGTAGTGGCAGGAGTAGAAGGAGCTGTTTGTAACGACGAAGCACACTCTGTCAGACATGCTGACCGTTCTAAGGTGCATCACATGTGGACTCACTGATTCCTCATGAGCCCTTCTGCAATGGCAGAAGCTGGCACGGAGGGTGTGGTGCACGGCAGCTGCCAGTCCCAGAGCAGCACCACTAGGCTACACGCTCTCACTAACCCTCTCCACCTGCCTCCTTCCAGCCAACACGGGGCCAGGAGCCACCAGGGGGAGTCTCTGCTTTCATTGGGGTACTACTGTTGCGAGGGCCCAAAACCGGCCCCAGCCGTCCCTGTGCAGGGCAGGAACAGGCGGACAAGAGGGACTTGCTTCCAAACAGGAGCCCCTGTCGGGTTCCACTGCGATGTGCACCTGGGGGGGGGGCGGTTCCCAGGGTGACAATGGGACACTGTCTACCATATGCTCCAAACCCCTCTCAGCCCACCCAAGCAGAGCTTGACATTTCGTTGGTGAATGAAACAGAAGATTAGCCATCAGATACTATGAACAAGTGTGAAGGTGTTCACCTGTCTTCATGTCAATGTGTTTGTAGTTAAAAACACGTCCCGGGCCGGCCCTGTGGCTTAGCGGTTAAGTGCGCACGCTCTGCTACTGGTGGCCCGGGTTTGGATCCCGGGCGCGCGCCCACGCACCACTTCTCCGGCCATGCTGAGGCTACGTCTCACATACAGCAACTAGAAGGATGTGCAGCTATGACATACAACTATCTACTGGGGCTTTGGGGGAAAAATAAATAAATAAAATTATTAAAAAAAAAAAAAAACAAAACACGTCCCATCTCTAGGGTGACAGATGTGGTGTGCTGACACCACTTAGAGGGGGGCGCCGTCGCTGAAGTCACCAGCAGGTGCATGCTGTGAGGCTCGTTTACAAGGTCGACCTCAGTAACTCTGAGATGTATTTTAAGACTCTAAATAGGATAAAAATTGTTCAACTCAGCCCCACATTCCAGATAACCCACTATTTTTACTTACACAACCAATTTATCAATTACTCTGAGGTCTGGCGGATCATTTGTAGCCAAATCTCCAACGTATTCCAAAAGGAAGCCGAACAGTTTCTGCAGGAACAAGGATGGGGACGAGAGCTCAGTGCTGACCCCCAGAACAAAACCACAGGCATACAACGCACTGTCACCTGCACTCTGGCTAAAACGGGTTGGGGAGGGCCTCAGGTCCACTGACAGGAGCACCCCACAAAACGCAGGCAAAGAACCCCAGTGAACGCTAGGAGGGGTGGACGAAACAAGAACCTGGGGTCTAGGTGTGTGCTTCTACAGAATAGCAGACAACACCTAAGTCTTAAAACAAAACGAAGAAGGCACCCAGCACTGCCCCTTGTTCAGTATATACGCAGCATTTTTGAAAGAGAAAAAGGTACATTTGTAGTTACCAATTTCCCTAAAAGTCTGGCTTTGCCGCTTGATGGCCACGTGAGGTGAACTCACCTGGGCCTCAGTTTCCTCACCTGTGAAATGAGGGCTACAGTGCCTGCCTCTCCCCAGGTGCTGTGAGCCTTGGAAGGGACGAATGCTAAGGGTTGGTTCTCCGCCTGCTCCAAACGCCCCCAGCAGTTATGACACCGTGACACCACACTGCCGAAGGGACTGAGGGGCAGGTACCGTCAGCTTCAGGCAACTCCTACCCACGGACCAGGGCTGACCCTAACATTCCCAACAGCAGCACGCACGGACCCCAGCATACTTCTAATTTGGCTTTGTTTCCCACTGCAAGACTTGGATGGTTGCATTTCTGAATTCTCTCCACCACCAAAAGCTGCTCTTCGATTGCTTTTCCTGATAATAAAGATTTCAGTTCCTCACAGGATTCAGGAGCTGTCAAAAATACAAAGCACACTCCACACTTAATGTTTAAAATGAGAATTACTCACATTAATACTTATAACACGATAAAATTCTGATAACTGATAGAAATTTCTGATAACACAGAGGTAAAAACTAAGCACAACCTAAGTAATAGTACTTCTTTTATACTTTATCAAAAAAGATGATTTAACATGTATTTTATAGAAACATTTATTTTACCTCACATTATAGTCACCACAAATACATCTAACGTGTGCTCTAGCATGTCCTGAGTGTGGGGTTTGATTGAACTGGGCCAGCTGTTGGTGACCGGGTACCGGAGATAGCCTCCATCAAGAAATGACCTCCAGCCTTTCCTCAATTAGAAATGCACTCAAGTACCCAACACGTGGTAAATCGAGCTCTCAGAGTGCTGCTTTTAATGCCCAGACTGGTTCAGCACGAGCTGGAAGGAGTCACGTGAACTGAGCAGTGTCACCACTGGAGACTCCCACGGATTGAAGGCCACCTCCACAGAAACCAGCCTCACCCACTAGTTTATCCTCTCTGGAAATAACCTTAAGTCACGGGACAATTTAGGACGTCCCACTAGAACTGAATGACTTTTCTCTGCATACCAGACAAAACAACATACTATACTCTATACAAGATGTTATGTGGCTGAACAACACCGCCCAGGTCTGAACACAGCAAGCCCTCTCACAGGCCCTGCCCTGGGTCTCTGTGGCAGCCGCCTGCCCATCACAAAAGGCTGATACTCGAAGAGCACGAAGACACTTCTGTGGAAAGGCATGTCTGCCCTCATCCTACTGTTGGCCAGCAGCACTGGCTGCGGTCATGCAACAAAGGCTAACACTCTGGCCACGACTTGGGTCAGGTGACATCAGAGCGCGGCCAGATGCCGAGGAGAAGGATGACCGTGCCTGTCCACAAGCCAAGGCTTTACAGCTGGCGATGTATCCAGGCATCCACAAGTGCATCCTTGGTCCCCCACTCCACAAATACGGCCCCAGCAAGGCAGACTTATCACCAGGCCATGGAGGTGACCCCAAAACATAAGAAAACCCACTTGTCTGCCTACCTGCAAACATATAGGGCAGCTCAGTGCTGGCAGCTTCTCGAACCTTTTGACCGTCTCTTGTCAACCTTTTCCCAGAAGTCTGATGCTGCTCTTTCTTCGGCCTCTCGCTGTCTTCCTCACTTTCTACGTCAGATTCCAGGTCCGAGTGGCTATCTGGGCCATCGCTCTCCTCTGGGTCCTCCTCGCTCGAGTCTTCGCCCTCTTCCTCCTCTTCGCTCTTATCATCGCTGGCTTCCCTGCTCTGCTCTTCCTCGACGTTCATCTTTCCGTCCTAGGAGCAGAACACGGAGACCACGGACATCACCACCCGGGGAGACGACGGTGGGAGCATGCTGTAACCCCATCAAAGGCTGTGCACACAGGGCTGTACCTCACTCGTTTGCAGGAACACAAACCCCACGTGCTGCATTTGGCCCCTGGCCTCCTCGCCCACCCTCTTTGATGCAGTTCTGAGCCATAGGGGCTAAAGGCCTGGGACCCACATCTTCCAAATCCCTGCCACCAAGACTTGGGGCAAGGGTTAGTTTCAGCCAGGGAGCAGCAGGGATCCAAGATGTGGAAGGCGCAGCAGTGGCCACGGGCTCCAGCAGCTGTGGGGTCTGCAGCAGCCCACCCACCACTGGCTTTGGGGCTGGCAACAGCTGGGTCAGCAGGGGCTTCCTGGCATTTGGGCCACACCTGCAGGTGGTGGGACTCAACACCTGTGGGTGACCCCTGACTGTGCTCCCCCAGATAACCCAGTACTCTTGTGAGCACCCAGTTTCCTGCCTTGGATCCTTTTTTGCCCGACACACCTGGCCCCCTCCTGTTTTCCGGCCCTGAACCCTGATACACTCTAAAAGGGAGAGGGGTATAGACCTTATGGAGTTTGTGAATTACAAACTGCACCAGTCTTAGAAACTCAATTATTTTACTCACAAATACTCAGAACTCTAACCTTGAGTTAGCCCCCTCAGTATCAGCGTGAGTGACTCATGCAGACAATCGTATACTTATAAACAACAGCAGCTGATGCCAGTGACTGAGAGAACGGTGACAGGAGTCTAGTCCACCCAGCGTTGCTGTCTGTGTTCCTCCTCTGGGGGAGGATGAAGACCATGGTCACAGTCGGCTCTATGAAGCCTCCACAGCTGACACACCATAAACACCCAAGTAAAGGATTGCAGGGCAAGCGTTTTAAAAAAGATTTACACGTTCCATCTGTGATAAACCCGTGAAACAAAATACCAGAAACTGTGCTCTTTTAAATTAAAAAAACAAAAGAAAGAAAGAAAGAAAATGAAGGCAAACATCTTACCTTGTAAGAAAGCAAACGCCTGTCATCTTTATCTAGTATGAAGCCATCACTTAAGTCATCCGCTGACATATGCTTTGGTCTCCTAGTATTTTCATCCTCATCCTTCCCACGCATTCTTCGGAGTCTTTCAGCCTGAGTAGGAGAGAGAGAAAAGTCGTACACTGCGCTCATCGAGCACGTAAACAGGAGGCCTCCCATCCTGCTCTCCGGGCCGCCCAGGGTTCTCAGCTCCGTCACAGGTGCTCAAGCCTGCTTTCTGCTTTCAGTCTTCAATCAAACGTGCAGACACTTGGTAAGTGTCATATGGAAGACTTTCCTACTTAACAAAAATAAAAATAAATATTGTGGCAGAAATATTTTCTAGTCACAAGGAAGGCAGATCTGTTCCTCTGAGGTCTTTCTGGCCAAATTATGCCGGCCAATCCTAATTTTCACTCCCCACTCTACAGCGACAGACGAGGAATAAGGACACCTTGTACGGAGGTTTGTATGTGATGAAACAAGTAGCTCAAGGACTTTTACGATATGAGAATATGCACCTGGCACAAGAGCCCGTGATGCGGTTCTACTACAGAGGCCAGATGTAGAACACTATGTCTCCACTTCATTTTTGTTTTAATGTAATAAAATACAAAAAACTTTTTTTAAAGGCACAGAAAAAAGTTGAGAAGGCAGTGCACTAAACCGTTTGCAGTTGTTTCGAGGTAAAGGGATTAGAAGACACATCCATTTTTTATTTGCCATATGGGTATTACTTGCATATTTTTGCTTTTATAATCAGAAAAAAAATATTTATAGTAAAACAAACATAAACTTTAAATAGCCTACAAAGATTCCACGGATAAGACAGTATCTCTTCAGTGCATCTTACAAAGCCAAGAAAGGGCCGTGACCCGGGGCCTCTCCCTGCATCGCCGCCCGTCCCCGCACCTCCAGGCGCAGGAGCCGCTCCTGCTCCTCCTTTGCCAACTCCTCTTCTGTTTTCATCCTGTTAGATGGCTGGGCCTTCATTTCAAAGCCAAGCTCACGAACCATCATGTCATATGCATCAGGCTAGGGCAGAAAGAAGGAAGTTTTTCATTTTTAGTATCTTTTGTTTTAAAGAAAAGATCTGCACAGCTAGCTTCCTGCACATTCCAGTAATGGCTGGACACCATTATGGAAGAAGCTAAAGCACATCGTAAGTCTTTTCCTCTTGAGGGAAAGCTGTTCCCATCAGTCCTGAGGACACTTTTAGGTCATACAGGACTTTTTGCTCCTAGAAAATTCTTTTCAAAATAGATCTGCTTTACCAAAACTAAACATTGCTCATCTAGGCGTTAAGCCCACAAAATGGGAGATTGGGTTAAGTTAACAGCAACAGTAGGAGTGACTCACAGAGATGTCCAGATGGCCACAGGATCAGGGAATCTGGTGAAATCCTAGGTATTTCCTAGAGACCAGCTACTGAAATAAATGTAGCTTTTCCCACAATTTAGACTAAAAAGATTGCTTAGACTAACAGAATGCTTTAGACTAAAAGAACGTTTAGAGGGAAAAATAAGTATATACGTATATATATATACATAAATGTGTAACAGGAAAATTCCAACACCACCTGAAGGTCTTCCCCGTGAAGTATTTCTCATACCAAGAAACAACCATTTTGTTTAGTTTAATTATTCTGGAGTAGATGTTGAAGTAACTTTCAGTCTGCTTCCACGCTGACATAACACATCAGATAACTTGATAAAAGTTCAACAGAAAACTCAGGTCCTCACAGAAAAAGAATAGAGGTTGTTGGTGCCAAGGCAACAGGCCAGAAGAGACAACTGGCCACCACCTCTTCTCCAGAGAAGGGCAAGTCCACAGACCTAAGTTCAGAGTTTGTTTCCATCATTTGCTTCCCACCTTGGGTTTCTCCTTTTTATCTCTGTTCTCTGACTTGGGAGTTTTGTGGGCCAGCAGAGTCTGAATTTCTTTCCAGTCTTGGTCTAGCCTCTCTGTGAGTTCAAGGGCATCTTCTCGTTGAGCCTGTCTCTCCCTCTGGGGAAAAAGAGCCGACACAGCACACACCATTACTGCTGGACACCAACCGAGCGCCAGATACTGGTCAGTGTCCAGGCCGTATGCAACGACTGCTTAACGTGTCAACAGCAAAAAGAGACCACGAGAAATTAGTGTCTTAAATGCAAAGCTACAAAATCTCATCAGACAAATAATTTCCTGCTATAAACTATTCATCTAGATGCTTTGAGCAGTTTGCTGTTAGTAAGAAAACAGTGATGCTTTGCAAATCTGGATACTTGTCACAATACTAAAACCAAGCAACCAAAAAAACAAAATACCACGACAAGCCATCAGAAACATATCCTTGACGAAATTTAAAATATTCCTATTCAAAATGAATGCTTTTATTAAATTCATAGAAAATATTAAGTGCAGCCTAAAAATGTCCATGGAGAAAAAGCTCAAAAATATTTTGGTCAGCATCTCTTGTGATGGAACTACCTCACCTCAAGGATATTAACTAACGCACCTTCTCTTGTTTCGACTTTGCAATGAGCTCCTCAATCAGTGCTTTGCGTGATTTGGGTTTCTCCCCCTCCTCGCCTTCCTGTTGAGAGGTCTTCTTATGAAGGAGCCCACTACCACCTCCAAAATGGGCTGCAGTCAACTCGGCTGGAGACAGAGCAGAAAACACCTCTGTGAAGCCCCCACGCCGGCTCCGGAAGCATTCTTTGTGGTACTCCACCAACATTTCTCCAAGCACAGTCCTGAGAATTGATTCCTCATTCAAGAAAAAATTCTCACCCACAATAGCTGGCATGAGAACACAGGCACACTGGCACTTAAGAAATACCAAGATGACCCACTCCAAGAAAACCCAAAGACATACCACTTCAGACTCTCCCCACTGCTCACACCTACTCAGGCAGGGGCTCGGGGAGTAATGAGTCCTGATGGCAGGAGCCTGGGTCAGCAACAACAGTCAGTGATCTTTAGCCTGCCCGCGTCACCAGGGCAGGAGAGAGAAATCAAACATTGTGGGAATCACTGTTTGGAATGGAGAGAAACCTTAAAAAATCCAATTTCTCGGATGAGAAAATGGAGGCTTAGATGCTAAGCGATTTACCCACAATCTCATACCAGTAACAGAAATGCAATGTTTTAGGCTGTTTTCCAGCCCTGCCTCTGGCATTCTAACTGCCAAGCCCGCTGGCCAGCCGGGCTCTCTGCACCCGCCGCCTGCAGCCTCAGCCCTTGCCCTTTCTTGTCCAATCCTGCTTCCTGCTGAAGCTGCCACTGGTTAAATCAAACTCTACACCTGCTCCCCGCCACACCTATGCCGGTGAAGGTGTGTGGAGGAAGGAAAACACACTGTATTTGAAATCGCTGACTCCAGACGGGCTCCTGAGGCTGCCTGTTAGACACATCAAGCTTCCCCCGTCCACTCCCCCAGATCATGAGCTCCTCTCCTCACAGCCCCGACAGAGCCTCCCCACCCGCACTCTCCGCTGAGAACTGCGGAAGCCTTGCCGACCCCAGTCAACCAGAGTGGCCCTGGGCCCTCATCCTCTGCTGCCCGGTGACTGCAGAGCTGGCCAGGGCCAGGCCTGCCCTTGACCATGTGACCCAACCCTTCCCCAGCCACTTGTGACCTAAGCTGTTCCACCGCCTTCCTCCCTATTCCTCCTCCTTCTACTGGATCATTCTCTTATTCCTCTCACGTGAAAAGAAACAAACAAACAACTCTCTGGCCCCCACTCCACTCCCCCTGCCACTTCTCAGCCCCACTTCCAGTGAAACCTCCCAGAGCTGCCCACGAACTCAGTGGCCCCCCCGACTCTTCATTTCATTCCATGCTGGCCTTTCCTGGCCTCTCCCCTGAAATGGACTCTCGCCTCACTGAAAGGCCAGTTCTCTCTCCTCCTCATATCGGCAGCACTCGACACATTTCATCACTCCCCCTGGACAGGCTTTCTCTGCTCGTCCGGTCAGCACTCACCAGATCTCCCTAGCAGCTCCTGAGGCTGTCTCCTCTGCTCCTCAGACTCCTCAGGCTGCAGCTCCCGGGACTCAAGGCCTTCCACCGCCCTCCTGACAGGAGTCCTGGGCTGCCCAACAGGCGTTCCACACTCCCCAGAAACCTGTTATGCCACAGTTGGGCCCAGCCCAACCAATGGCCATCCCATCTTTCCAGCTGCTCAGACCAAAACCCTGGGATTCATCCTTCATTCCTCTCCTTCTCCCATACCTACGTCTAAGTTATCTAACACATCTAATTTGTCAGGAAATCCTGTTGGCTCTGCCGGATCAGATCCCGCAGTTCCACATTCAAATCTCTCTAGTAGCTCCCATTCCTGAATAAAAGCCACAATCTTTTCTGTGGCCTAGCAGGCCCTGGTCCATCTGCCTGTTACCACCGCCCACTCCAGTCTCAGTCTCCTGGCTGTTCCCGGCTCGTCCCAGGCACGCTCCCACCTCAGGCCCTTTGAACTCTTCCTTCTCTGAGGACACTCTCGCCCACACGGCCCTCGACCTGCGACCACCACCTTCTCAGGGAGGCTGATCAAGTCCATCTGATGGCACATCCTTCCCGTTGCCTGCTTTATTTTACCCCACAGCACTTCTACTTTCGACGAGTCTCCATAATTTAGCAATGTGTTTTGTTTATCGTCTGGGTCTCTCCAGCAAAACGTGAGCTGTAGGAGGGTTTTATTCACTGCTATTTCCTCACAACCAAGAGCAGCGCCTGGCACTTAAACCAGTATTTGTGGAATGAACGAATGATTCCTGGAAAACTCAGTGTATCAGAAAACACTATTCATTAAGTATTTGAGTAATTCAAGATTATTTACAATATTTTCTGAAAACAGAAATTTACAATACACTAACCAATAAGGTGGCATTGCATAAAAGATTCAGAAAAGAATTCTCGGAAAAAAGAAAAAATAAAACCTTCTGTCAGTGTGCTTATATTAGGATTTAATTAGAAAGCTTTTTAGATATTTATTTTCAAATCCAAATATAATTTATTTTATAGTATGTTAAACGTTTGTTTTCATAGTGTGAAATACAGTAGCACTGCAGTTCCAGTTTAGAGTCAAGCCGACCAGGTGTGAAGCCCAGCTCCACCTGGCCGTGCAGCCCTGCGCAAGCTCCCAACCTCTGCCCTCTACCTCCGCTTCTGCGCTGGACGAGGGGGAGCACCTGTCTGACAAAGTTGACTTGTAAGATGAAATTCTCCTAATCTAGGAGAACATACTGCATTATGTAGTTGGACAAAACAGAATTTGTTTCCTAATGATTCAGGATGACAGGAAATCTCAAATGAACAGTTGAGATCCCAGGACCCAATACCCGGAAGAACGGAATCTGACTTTTCCTCTTGTCCTGAGTAGCAGAGAGTCTTATACCAACAAGGCCAAGGCCACTATTCTTGTGATGAAAGACCAAGGCACCAAATATGAAGGCACCAAGGTGGTTACTTTCAGTCACAACGCATAATGACCCCCAAGTGAACTCGCTTAACAGTTAAGCGTGCACAATAAGCCTTGAACAATGAAAAGTGCAGACAAAGGCACAGAAGACAAAACTACTGGCCATTCCCTCTACAACCACGAAACCTCAACGGAGTCGTGGTTCTACTGCTGGTGCCGTGGAAACAGAACCACATGCTGCCCTAAGTTCTAAGCCTTCTACTCCTAGGATTATCCAAATAGCAAAAGGCAGTCACAGGTTTAAGGCTTTAGCTTTCCACACACTAACAAGACAAAAGCTTTGAGTCATTTTAAGTTTTACACGGTTTTGTTCTGAAGATGATGGAAAATGGGACATTCTAACTTAAAGGAATGCAAACGAATGACATGACCGCAACTTTATAAACTGGGCCCAAGATGATCAGACTTGAACCGAGTCCTAACTCAGTTCATATATTAATGTTAAATTAAAGCCACAATTCAATTTACTGCGTTATTATCTATAAATATTACTCAATATTACTTCCCCCATAAAACTGCCATAATTGGTTCCATAGTAAATAAAGACTAAAAGAATTACATAAACACTGTCAGTACACATACTAGGTCACAACTGAGAAAACAGTGGTAGCAAAGCACTGTGGGCCAGTGCAGAAGGGCTGTCAGGGTCAGCAAGGTGAGGTGATCACAGCTGGCTCACAGGTTGGACAAATTACCTTGTTTCTCTGAGCTCGTGGGTAAAACGAGCTAGGGTGAAATTCAAAGAAGATTGGGGGTATTGCAGTGCCTTCTCAGCCTACAAAAGCCTCTGTCTGTCAGTCTATCTATCTATCTACATATACACCTTCTTAAAGTTCTAAAAGTAGAAAAATAACAAAAAAATCCTGTTACATGTAGAATTTCTTGAGGCTGATGATCAGTGAAGCTGTTACCCAACAACATTTTTCTAGGTCTCCAAGAAGGGCAGGAAGAAAGTCTAATGTGAGCAGACTGTTCCCTTGCTCCCAGCCCTTACCTGACAGTGTTCCTCGCTCGTCAGCATCACTGTCACTATCAACAATATCATTATGCTTTTCGATGTCTGCCAAGGACTGGCCGTAATGAGTTAATTCTTCATCTTCATTCAGGTTGTAGATGCTTTTTTTCTCGTGTTGTCGCTGACAGAAGAGGAAAAAAAATCAGTTTCCTAAAATTTCCATACATTTTAAACAGCAAAAACCAACTATTTTTCCATTATTTGTGCAATGTAACAATGCAGCCTAAGCAGCTTATGACTATTCTGGGTCATTGGAGGAATGATTTTTTTTTTGTTTGCTTTTTTTCGTTTTCCCCCAAAGCCCCAGTAGATAGTTGTATGTCATAGATGCACAGCCTTCTAGTTGCTGTATGTGGGACGCGGCTTCAGCATGGCCGGAGAAGTGGTGTGTCGGTGCGCGCCCGGGATCCAAACCTGGGCCGCCAGCAGCGGAGCGCGTGCACTTAACCACTAAGCCACGAGGCCGGCCCTGGAGGAATGATTGAGATATAAACAGAACCCACAAAGGTAAATAAATCAAGGGACCAGCCTAAGCTACTGGTTAATCACATAGCTTTACCTGATGTTCCATGAGCCACTTGCTCTCCACCCAACCGAGGTGAAGGCAGCAGTTCAGCCAAGAACTCCAGGACACGTCACCACCACGTACTCTGGTGCAGATATTTATCCACCCCCCCGGGTATTTGCAGACGGCTGCTTCCCTGTGGCCTAGCTAGACAAAGTCAGGATACAAGACCTACCCCCTTACCTAGTGGGCAAGTGCCCACCAAGGTATAAATGAACAGCAGGCGGAGCTGCCTTCTCCCTGTGCTTGACTTCAGCATAAATCAACAGCAAAAGACCCTCCTCCAATTGTTTTCCATACCTGTTGTTCCAGAGCAAACCTCTTCATCATCTTTTCCTCTGGGCTTATGTTGCTATTGTATTCCCCAAAGCGTTTATCTGTAAATACGTTGGACTTATCCCTTTCTTTGTATTCCTTCAGTAAAGTCTGGGTACGCTGAAAAACAGATCATAAGACAATCTCACACTGGTCCCGGCAACTCTGAGCTCTGATGGCTGGGAGACCTTAGCTCCCAAAGGGGAAATGCTTCCATAAGGGGACACAATCATGGTTCTAATGAATTGGAAGATGATACGGCCACTGGTCATTTTGTATGCCTTAGCCACAGAAACCAACAGGCCAAAAAAAGGGGCTAATCTACTGGCTGGAAAGATTGAGCTCAATTACTGAGGGGAAATGGTTGCTGCCATACAAGGGAGGCAAAGACGACTACGTCCGGAACCCAGGAGATTCTCTAGGGCGGCCTTAGTACTTGCAAGCCCAACAGTGAAGGTTAAAGAAAAGCGACAGTGACCAATAAGAAAGCAGAATGAGCGAGCACAAAGAGGTCAGTCCACCAGGTAAAGAAGCCAGAGGAGCTGACGTCCTGGCTGAGAGGAAGGGCAGTACAGAACAAAGGGTTGAAAAGGAAGCCCTCTATGTCAACTCCGATGTCATGACCCATCACAGACACAAAGACTGTCGGAGCCCTGCTTATTTTCTCTTCGCTTGCTGTACACGTGCGTTCATTTGTATACATAGTCAATCCTTGTTATTTGCAGATTCCTGATTTGCAAATTTACCTACTTGCTAAAATTTATTTGTAATTCCAAACCAACTCGCAGCGCTTTCGTGGTCATTCACGGACATGTGCGTGTGGACACTGAATCCCACCAGCTCCACACTGCCCAGCTAGCACGACTTTGAGAAGCACCTAACCTCTCTCTCCCCCTATGGCCTCACCTGTAAATGGGAGATAACGGCAGTACCTACCTCAGGCTTTGTTAAGGGGCCCACAAGAGTTCACAGGAGAAGACGGCTCAGGACAGAGCTGGGCACAGCGAGCTGCTGTGTGAGCGTGAAGCCCTCAAGTCTGGGTTTGGGTCTCAGCTACACCACTTTCAACCCGAAGAAAGTTATGGAACTGCTCCCTGTCGCAGTCTCCTAACGTGTAAGACGGGGATAATAACAGTACTTCCCTCATAAGGCTGACTGTGAGGATTAAACGTATATTTCTTTTTTTTTTTTTTTAAAGATTTTATTTATTTATTTTTTTCCCCCCAAAGCCCCAGTAGATAGTTGTATGTCATAGCTGCACATCCTTCTAGTTGCTGTATGTGGGACTCGGCCTCAGGAGGGACGGAGAAGTGGTGCTTCGGTGCGCGCCCGGGATCCGAACCCGGGCCACCAGCATCAGAGCGCGCGCACTTAACCACCAAGCCACGGGGCCGGCCCTAAACGTATATTTCTTAAAGACACAATGCCTGTCCCATTGTAAGAGATCAACAGATAAATTAACTATTGTCATTTTACAAACTGTGTCAGAAACGAGGAAACTGAAGCACAGCTATAAAGTGATGGCGCTGGGACTGGCACCTGGGGGTCTCAACACAAAGCCTGCTCTCCCCCTACATTCAAGTGCTGCCCCAAAGTGCCACCACTGACTAGAGGAGAGAAGACACACGGGACAGTCCACGTACTTCCGAGGGACCGGCACAGACGAAAAGACCCAAGCCTACCCCACCAGCCCTGTTTGCCCCTGCACACACAGCATGCTTCAAATCAACTAGACGACCTACGTTCCCTCCAGACAGCTCAGCGCTCTTCATTTATTTTATTTTATTATTTATTTATTTTTTGTGAGGAAGATCAGCCCTGAGCTAACGTCCATGCCAATCCTCCTCTTTTTGCTGAGGAAGACCGGCTCTGAGCTAACATCTATCGCCAATCCTCCTCCTTTTTTTCCACAAAGCCCCAGTAGATAGTTGTATGTTATAGTTGCACATCCTTCTAGTTGCTGTATGTGGGACGCTGCCTCAGCATGGCCAGAGAAGCAGTGCGTTGGTGCGCGCCCGGGATCCGAACCCGGGCCGCCAATAGCGGAGCGCGAGCACTTAACTGCTAAGCCACGGGGCCGGCCCTGCACTCTTCAACCCCATGTCTTGCCACACTCTCCCCTACACGGGACAGGTGCCTTCGCCCCCGCCTGTAAACATCCTGCTCACCCTTCTTTGCTCGAGTCTGACTCCCTCTATGAAGAATTTTCTGACTTTCCTAACTATTATACCTTCTCCCAACTGTGAGCCACCAAAGCACTCATGTTCTACTTGTGATTCCCTCAAATACTTGAGTTTCTACTATGGGCCAAGCACTGGGGATTCAGAGGAAGCAGCAACGACCCCTCCAGGCCATTCACCCCCAGGCCTTCAGCACAGAGCGCAGAGGTGGATCTGTCAGATACCAGAGGCATGAGCAACCTGTCCTATTTGGGCTGTGGAGCCTGGGACACTATCAGAAGTGGTGACCTGAGCTGGCCTTTGAGAGATATGGGGGGATAAAATAGGCCTTTTTGGACAAACTGAGTTGCAAGAGACAAAGCAAGGACAATAGATTGGGGGCAGATTGTAAGAGTCGGAGAATGACAAGCGGAGAAGTTTAATAATAATAGCTAGTATTTAGAGAACTATGTGCTAAATGTGTTATTTTATTTAATTCTTACAACCACCAGCAGAGATAGGATGTATTCCCCACTTTAGAGATGAGAAAACTGATGCTTAAGTGGCGAAGACAACCCTGTCTATTCTAGAGCCCACACTATCTGAGCCCCTACACCTGCCCTGGGGTGTGTAACGGGGCACTCAGGAAAGTCCGTTGTAAGTCTGTCTTGTCTACTATACATACTGTCAGCTCCTTGCAATGAGGATGACATTTGATTCAATTCGAAGATCAATCGGATTGCACACTGTGTGACGGAATACAGATGATCAGCCCTTGAAGGCAGGGGCCACATCTTAATTTACCTTTTTCTCCTAGGAGCTAGAACAGAGCTTAAACCTAAGTGCTCACTGGAGCAGAAAGGCTTCACAGACATTCAAGCCAAGTGCAAGCCCCGGCCTTTACCACTTGTGGGACCTTAGGAAATCTACTTGTCCTTCCTGTGCTTTATTTTTATTTATTTATTTTTTTAATTATTTATTTATTTATTTTTCCCCCCAAAGCCCCAGTAGATAGTTGTATGTCACAGCTGCACATCCTTCTAGTTGCTGTATGTGGGACGCGGCCTCAGCATGGCCGGAGAAGCGATGCGTCGGTGCGCGCCCAGGATCCGAACCCGGGCCACCAGCAGCGGAGCACGCGCACTCAACCGCTGAGCCACGGGGCCGGCCCACTTCCTGTGCTGTAAATTTTTCACCAACCTACTAACGATGTATCTTCCTCAGAGTAACAATAAATATCGTTAAACAAACCAATGAACATGTCTCAGAAGCTGCATATAGAATTTGTCGAACTAAATTTGAAAGGTATAGAATATTCCAGAACCATAAGCACAGGAAAGATAGAAGCTATGAGACTTTCCACGGAAGGGGGCATTTCAGTTACCCCGCAAGGGACAAGGTCATGTGCTTCAAAGGAGAGAGACACTCATTCTTCAAACATCTATTGAGCATCCTGTGTAACACCTTATCCTGTGAAGAAAAAGATCCATGGTCCTCAAACCAGTAGAGCTCAAAGTCTCAACGAAGAGAGGTCATGACAGGTAGGTACAGGTGCCACGGCACCTGAGGGAGTTGGGAAAGGAGTCACAAGGAAACACACGTGTGTGCTGGGTCTCGGAAGAGGGGCAGGAGTTTTCCAGGGGAAGGTCATTCCAGCCCACGCAAAAGCAGAAGCACGAAGATACCAAAAACAGTGTAACTGACAAATGATATATACGACATACAACAGATTAACTGCGCCAGGCACTGTCCTAAAGACTTTAAATGAACACATGTAATTCTCCCAGCATCCCTAGGACATAAGTACTATCATGATGTCCGTTTTACAGACGAGGTAACTGAAGCACAGAGAAGTACGCAGCTTGCCCAAGGCCTCGAGGGTAGCCAGCGTGTGGTCCAAACCCTGGCAAGCCGGAGTCTGCGCCACGCCAGGACAGGTTCAAAAGGCAGAGGCGCGTGGTGGTCAGGTCCGGGAGGAGCACCGCCGCCCAGGGGCGGGGCGGGGCCGGGGGCAGGGCGGCGGGCGGGGGGTTAGGAGCAGCCTGGCTGGCGAGCACGAGCATCCCTTTCGATGCCCGCCGCAGGGTTAGGCGCCGTCCCTGAAGACCCCCGGCCGGGTGAAGGGGACACCCCTGCCCCGGGAGGGCCCGGCGGGCGCGCGCCCCGCTTACCTTCTGGATGGCCCGCGCGCGCGACACCCCGGGCAGCCCCACGTCGTGGCGCGTCTTCCGGCCCAGGACCTGGAACTTCTGCCTGTTGATTTTCACTTCGAACGGGTTGGGGTTGGGCCTCGCCCGGCCGCCCCGCAGTCCCGCCGGAGCCCCGGGGGCCTTCCTGTGCGCCCCAGCCGACCTGGCCTTGCCCATGGCGCACACTCGCCGCGCCCCAAGGCGCCCAATTCCCCACGGCCTCGGAGACGAGGAGGAAAGCCAGCGGCTCAAGAAGCCGGCCCGAGAGCAGCTTCCCTCAGGGAACACGTTGGGGGCCAGGGCCCGCCCCGCCCTCGTCTCGCGATAACTGAACCCGCGAGAAGTAGACAAGATGGTAAAACACCTACACGCTCCGGCTTAGCCTACTCGCTTACAGCCCAGGCGACTACAACTCCCAGTTGGCCGCGCTCTCCCGATCCGTCGCTTCCTTCCTGCGCGCGGCCTGCCGGGAGCTGTAGTGCCTGGAGCGGCGCCGCACCCGCCTCAGGGCGCCTCGGTGAGGGGCGCGTGCGCTCCCTCCTCCGGGGAGCCGTTGGCGGCGGCGGCGGCGGTGGCGGCAGTAGCCGTCGCCGCCAGGGGCGGCCCTGCCCGTGAGCCATTCCCTGGAGTGGGGCCCGGCGGACACTCGGGCAGCCGGGAGCCGGACGCTGAGGAGCGAGTTGCGCGCGCGAGGCGTGGCCCATGGGGCCACGAGCCCGGGCCACGGCGCGGCGGC